TGAGGCACTGTTTCTCGCCGGATCTTCTCAGTGGGTCGCGATTCCGATCCGGTGGTAGATTTAGCGAGGCACTGTTTCTCACCGGATCTTCTCAGTGGGTCGCGATTCCGATCCGGTGGTAGATTTAGCGAGGCACTGCTCTTGCTAGGACTAGTGTTAGTCTTTGGTTGAGCCTGTGAGCTCACCTTCCGGTCCGTGTGAAGTTGGAATAGCGCCTTAAGCTACCAACGATTAGGTAGGGGAAAAAATGAACCAAGTAAGTGATACGTAGCTATATTTTTTTTTATTTGGAGCGGGTCCCAACCTAATCAGGACGTGAAACTGTACAATACACGAGAAGTACTCGTCTTAATTCCCACTCCACAGCAGTGCTAGTCCCCGCCTTGCGTCTATAATCCTCAATGCTGAGGCTCGTAGCCACATGAGGCTTTCTTGGGAAATTACACAGGGTGGGGTGCCGCGTTCTTCCACGGCGGCAGTGCTTTTGGAAGAGATTTACTTTTTCGAGGCCGCTGAAGCGTTATTGGGTCCGGCTAATTAACCGCCGCCCGACAAGAGGCGTTGACTGTTTTACGGTGGAAAGGTTGAACTCCAACTCAATCCTCTTTTCTGATCCGGACCGGCATTGGCAGAGTTAACAGTGCTAGTAAATTTAATTTTAAAAAAAATTGAATCGCCCCGCCGATGATTTTAGACCATACAGGAAGTCAACTGAAACCAACCAATCAAAGCTACAAAAGAGGACTGCCAACCATATTGTCATGGAAATTGAAAGTTTTGGAATGGCCACGAAGCGTGTGATTTATTAAATTTGTGTGGCCACTAAACTAACTGTATTGAACGGGTTTGTACGAAGCTAACCAGACTAAATATTTTTTACGTTATTTGCTTGTGCGAGTGGCTTACCCGTTGTTAAGTGTTTATCGCACTAGGCCCCAGTCTTCGAAACTGCAACACGTGAATGCTTCGCGATACAAATTGGCAGGGTTGTCGTAATTTGTTTTTGCGGGTGTGATTTTTATCACACGCTGATATTCCTACATCGTTGGAGTCTTCGTAATCAAATATTTCCTTAGAAAACGTGGTGCTTGTCTGCGGAATTATAACTTTGTCCCGCTGATATACTGCAAAAAAAAATAATATCGAAAGACGACTCTATTAGCAGTTTTGTTCCGTAACTTATAAAGTGGAGCAATCAATGATTGTCGTTAGAAAGGATGGTTGGACAATGCTCGCGGCACACCGCCCTTCGTCCTAAGACAACTGTGCTACCGGTTCTGCGAAGGGCCGCATTAGAAGCTGTACTCCGAGGGCCGTGATGCCTTAACACGTTGGACGCCACATGAAAAAAATTTTTTTTTTAAATTTTTTTATTGCTTAGATTAGAGCTCACAGCCCACCTGGTGTGTTACCGGAGCCCATTGACATCTACAACGTAAATGCGCCACCCATCTTGAGATATAAGTTCTGGTCACAGTATAGTTATAACGGCTGCTCCACCCTTCAAACGAAAATGCATTACTGCTTCACGGCAGAAATAGGCGGGGTGGCGGTACCTACTCGTGCGGACTCCCAAGAGGTCCTACCACCAGTAAAAATGAATAAAAAAATATCTGCTTTGAAATGAGCCGAAAAGTCCACAGTTTTTTTTTTCGGGTAGGCGTCGAACCTCCTACGAGGTATTCGCGCCTAGAGGTCACGCGGGGTATGTGAGACTTGAAGGTCTGCAGATGGTCGGGGCAGACCAAATAAAGATACACGAACAAACAGAACACAAACTAAATGCCGCCCTGTGTCTCCGGTCGTTGTAGGCTCTGCAGTTCACGATACAACATTCTCCAACATTTCAATGTATGCTAATTTAACTCGTGAGCAATCAAAGCACAATAAAACTAAGCAATTATGTTTAAGACTCGGAAAAACAAAGGTACGTACATAAAAACAGTTAAATATGCAAATAATAACAATTAATTGTTACATACTGGTGGTAGGTTATATTTCGATAAAAATCGATTTGACTAACGGTAGTGTTCGCTGATGTCTTCATAAAATAACATTTTCATTTTCTCAATGAATTTCCTGTAATATAAATTTACATAATAATCATAATATGTCATGGATAACGTTTTATGTAATATTAAGACATTGTTGTGAAGGTTATTTAAATGATAAACATCGAAAAAAAATTGGGTAGACGACACAACATCAGAATACAGTAAAAACTCTTTATACGCTCTTACTGGTGGTAGGACCTCTTGTGAGTCCGCACGGGTAGGTACCACCACCCTGCCTATTTCTGCCGTGAAGCAGTAATGCGTTTCGGTTTGAAAGGTGGGGCAGCCGTTGTAACTATACTGAGACCTTAGAACTTATATCTCAAGGTGGGTGGCGCATTTACGTTGTAGATGTCTTTGGGTTCCAGTAACCACTCTACACCAGGTGGGCTGTGAGCTCGTCCACACATCTCGCCAATAAAATAAAAAAAAAACATACCTTCGTTATTTTTTATTATGTAGATCAGATACGGTCTTGGTGTAAATGATGGTCGTAAATAAACAGCTCGCGCTGATTTTCAGTCGAGATCCGGGACAAAGGCACAGTAAACATCTGGCATTCAGAATTTCGGTTTTATTATGTTAAATTATAGGTACCGTCCGTTTAGTGCATTTTCATCTAACAATCGCCTTGAGTTGTATGAGAATTTTCTAGAATCGTTCGATTATTGAGTGTGCTTAGTGCGAGTTTTTTAACGTTTTTTTACTACTTAAGCTGATAGCCTTTAGAGGCTATTTCAGCGTAACCCTAACTAGTAGGTGGAGCTCACGGGGCTCAAACCGGAGTGATGCTAACACTGACCCTAGCAAGAGCAGTGCTTCGCAGAATCTACCACCGGATCGGAAACGCGACCCACTGAGAAGATCCGGCGAGAAACTCAGTGGGCTGTGTCTGTAGGTTAATTTACTCGTCGAGCCCTTCGTCGTAAGTGACGGGTTCGACGAGAACGATGACCGGAATATAAATGCCACTTTGAGACATGAGTTCTAAGGGCTCAGTTTTTACAGTAAAATGGCTGTTTCGCCCTTCAAAACGAAACGCATTAGTGCAAATTATAATTTTGCGGGTTTGATTTTTATTACACGCCGCTACTTAGATTCGATTTCATTAATGCCGAGTTTACATTACGAAATTAGTGTCATGCATGTTGGGCTCAGTTTCACGAAAGTAGTTTCGATATATGCGAAAGTAATTTCGTTAAAAAATTAGTGTCGCGAAATCCACAGTATCGCAGTAACCATGGCGCCGTCAGCATCAAAGCTATATTTTGCTATATTCAATGTAGCTAAAGAAATGCTTATATAATATATGCTTCTTTGACATATTGCATCTCCATGGCTTCCATAATTATTTTGTAGGCCGCATCTCGGGCAGGCCTATTTTTATATTGTAGGTGTTTCGGGTCCCAGAGACACTCTTGTCGCTGATATTCATTAATGAATTGTATTTTTTTTCTGTACTCCATCGTTGGTTTGCCATTTTCAACGCTTGAAGCGCGTCCGAACTAACAATACACACGTCCGCATAGCGCAGGCCCTTTCGCGACATTAGTTTCACGTCGCGTCTACACTATGAAATTAGTTGCATGACACTAATTTCGTAATGTAAATTCGGCTTTACATAGCAAACGGACGAATTACATTGTAATATAAAAACTTAATCGATAATGGTCGTAGTCGCTTCCGATACGTCGATATTCGGATGTTAATTCGCGAATCATATCGCGTTCCTACTAGCGAAATAATCGATTAATTGTTATGATATCGAAGGAAATAAACGTTTCGCGCGTTACCCAAGCTATCAATATTTATGGGCATAAATGAGCATACAATGTATGCTTTAAAGGCTTTTTTTTTTGTATAGTTAACAAACGTTAATCGGTTAGATACATTAATATTCATGAATATCAACTGTGGAGTGCATTACGTATTAAACGTAGCGTTTTAAGCGCTTACAACGTTTTGTTTTTCTCTCTTTATTGTTTTCATTTTAAGAGCGTCATATTTGACCGGATTCGAATTCCGTGATTTTCAGAATAAGGATGTGGATTCATTAACACGCCGATATGAGGTTAAACCTGGCTCTGTTTATGCAGAAGTATTGTTATTCTTTTTTTTCTTCATACTTCATACATATTACAGGTGGTAGGACCTCTTGTGAGTCTGCGCGGGTAGGTACCACTACCTTGTCTATTTTCTGCCATGAAGCAGTGATGCGTTTCGGTTTGAAGGGTAGGGCAGCCGTTGTAACTGTAACTATACTGAGACCTTAGAACTTATATCTCGAGGTGGGTCGCGCATTTACGTTATAGATGTCCATGGGATCCAGTAACCACTTAACACCAGGTGGGCTGTGAGCTCGTCCATCCACCTAAGTAATAAAAAAAAAGAATCTACCACCGGATCGGAAACGCGACCCACTGAGAAGATCCGGCGAGAAACTCAGTGGGCTGGCACCCTTGTAGGCAGACGAGCATACGGCCCACCTGATGGTCAGCGGTTACCGTCGCCCATGCACGTCAGCAATTCCAGGGGCAGAGCCAAGCCGCTGCCTACCGTAGGTCTCGTGCGCATTGCATTAGTGCTGACGTGTGTAAGATGTTATTATATTTCGAAAAAATTAACATAACCCTACAGATTTTATAGCCTTAAATTAAGCAATGCCTTTTGAACTGTTTCCCGATAAGTTTAGTGTTTATTTTCGTATAGCATAATGATTTGAAGTCAATAAAAATAAAAATGCTTACACCTCCATCTCTGTACACCACACAGTGCGTTTCAAATAAGAATGTGCACGTCAATTATGTTTGATTTGTCAAAGTTCGAAAAAAGTATGGACAGCAGCAAAAAAATGTTTCCTCAAAAATTAGCCATCAATTTATTTTGAACGTTTTAAGCGTGTTTTTAAAAAAATCTTTTCCAATAATTCGATTTATTTCGTTACAGCATCAACAAATCTGTCGCCGAGACTGAACAACAATGACGGATCTGCCGAACATCAAAACGTTATCGAGTAAGTACCTCTTAATCTATTTTTATTTTCCCCTATCTATTCGTTGGTAGTCTAGAGGTTATTGCAGCTACGCCCTGACGAGTAGGTAAACTCATAGGATCAACTTTAGAAAAGGGTTGCTAACACTAGCCCTAGCAAGAGCAGTGCTTCGCAGAATTTACCACCGGATCGGTAACGCGACCCACTAAGAAGATCCGGTGAGAAACTCAATGGGGCTTAATCAATTCTACAGGTTAGTGTGAATACAAATACAATTATCGTACAATTGTGCCTACTGAGTTTCTCGCTGTATCTTCTCAGGGGGTCGCGTTTCGGATCCGGTAGTAGATTCTGCGAAGCACGGCTCTTGCTAGGGCTAGTGTTAGCAATACTCCCGGTTTGAGCCCCGTGAGCTCATCTACACGTCAAGGAGAACCTGAAATAGCCTCTCAAGGCTATCAGCATAGGTAAAAAATAGTTCCGATGGAAAGCTGAATCGCGCTAGCATCTTTTCTCAAGACGTGCCAGCGAATATCTGAGCAATAATTTCCGTTCGGAGGAAGATCTTTGAAAACTAGCTTATACGTTCCCACTGATCTGATGTCTCAATATTGATTCATAAATGTTCCAGTAAATCTATCGAGTATGTGTCATTATTCTCTATTCTGAAGTCGTCGTGGCCTAAAGGATAAGACTTCCGGTGCATTCGTATGTAGCGATGCACCGGTGTTCGAATCCCGCTGGCAAGTACTATTTTTTCTAATGAAATACGTACCCAACAAATGGTCACGATTGAGTTCCACGGTGAAGGAATCATCGTGTAGTAAAAATCAAACCCAAAGCAAAATTATAATTTGCGTACCAACACCCTGCCTATTTCTGCCGTGAAGCAGTAATGCGTTTCGGTTTGAAGGGTGGGGCAGCCGTTGTAGCTATACCTACTGAGACCTTAGAACTTATATCTCAAGGTGGATGGCGGCGTTTACGTCGTAGATATCTATGGGCTCCGGTAAACACTTAACATCAGGCGGGCCGTGAGCTTATATTTGGACCGTCGGTCTACCGAGCAATTTCATCAGCTCGGTGCCACAAAAATAGTCGATATAAGGATGTGCGAACGAAGCATCGTCACAGCTGCGCACTAATAAGTTAAATTCAAAACTTTTACGTTAAATTTTTGTAGGTCAAGCCATCATATACCTAAACATAGAATGGGGGCGGACCTCAGAAGCACAAGAAGACCAAAACAGAATTACAACAGGTATATATCTAACCCTAATGAACCTCTGTTGTTTTACATCCCCCTGTATTCTAGGCACGGCACTGTGGATCCCGTTTGATCGCGAATAAAGTGAATTCGCCGGAACGATTTCAAAATGTAATCTATATACAGGGTGTGCTCAGATAGTCTCTGAAGCCATTGCGGAGTTTATACTACCCGCGTCAATGAATGTCGCCAGCAACTCTAAAGTCTAAAGTCACAGTCTTTATTGCATTTGCACACTTAAATTGTAAGTGAACAATTCAAGCAACCGGAACAATTTCAAAATGCAAACTTTATACAGGGTGTGTTCAGATCGTCCCGGAAGCCATTACGAAGCTTTACTACTCGGGTCAATGAATGTCGCCAACAACTTTATTTTAAAGTCGCAGTCTTGATTACATTACTACTCATAAAAGTTCACTGATTTTTGAGGAAAAATACTCCTTCTTCGATGACGAGCAGGAGAAAGTTGTTCTGAAGTCTGAACTCCTTTGCCTTTGCCTATATTTATAGATTATATATCCTGAGTTGGTCTTTCTAGAATCAGCAATGGTACTTTTATGTCGCTACCTAACTTCCCCCGGGGCAGTTTTTTTTATTGCTTAGATGGGTGGACGAGCTCGCAGCCCACCTGGTGTTAAGTGGTTACGGGAGCCCATAGACATCTCTAACGTGAATGCGCCACCCACTTTGAGGTATATGTATAGTTACAACGGCTGCCACCTTCAAACCGAAACGCATTACTGCTTCACGGCAGAAATAGGCGGGGTGATGGTACCTACACGTGCAGACTCACAAGACGTCCCAACACCAGTAATTACGCAAATTATAATTTTGAGGGTTTGATTTTTATTACACGATGTTATTCCTTCACCGTGGAAGTCAATCGTGAACATTTGTTAAGTACGTATTTCATTAGAAAAATTGGTACCCGCATGCGGGATTCGAACACCGGTGCATCGCTCAACACGAATGCACCGGACGTCTTATCCTTTAGGCCACGGCGACCGAAGTCCCTTTCAAATTTAAACTAAACAATTTCAGATTAAAACAACAAGATCAAGCATCGCATCAGTCGCTTCCATCAAACGATATCTCCAAACTAGCAATGGATTTCCGAAAGCAATTCCTACCGCCGATCGTGCCATTCGCGCTTCCGAACCGCGAATCCAACGTCGAACTAAAAAACTTCCTAATAAACACGGCACTGCAAAACGTCATAGCCGGCTCGGTAAACGCGTTCCCGGACGCGTTCACGAAAACCGCTACGGAGGACGCTAAAGACGTATTCAATAATAACGAAGACGTGTCGAGTCGTAGGAGGCTTCATAAATGCGACGTTGTCGGCTGTCATAAAGTTTACACGAAGAGCTCGCACCTGAAGGCGCACAAGCGCACGCATACAGGTAATTTTTTATAACAGCGCCATCTGTTGATCAGGTGGGGTTATTGTTTTTTTTTAGTTTTTTTAATGGCCTTACCAGCGAATATGTTGGACTTTTTGCAGGAACGCGAGAAGTGAAGTGTGATCAGTTTTATTTTGTCTATTTAGTGTTTCTTCAGGCTTAAATGTGTAATAACGGTGATTTACTAACTGTTTAGTATAACTGTGAAAGTGCACAAATGTGGGAAAATGAAACAAAGCCGCTGAACGTCACTTCTCGGGATTCTCCAAAAAGTCCACTGAAAAAGTCTCAGTAAATGACCACCATTTTACTAAGATTATATTTCATCCCGTATCATCTCATCTCATTTCATTTAATGTCATGCCAATTGATTAAGTTTCCTTCGTTTTTTATTATTCTTAAACTGTAAATAATTAAAACGGCGAATTATAAAAATCTTATTACTTGACACTGGCTAATCCACAAACCGTGCCGGAGCCAAAAACTAAAAGAAGAGCGAATAAGTGAATAGAATAGTGCATATTATAGTTGGTTATCGTCGCTCGGGTAATGCTAAACAGGACCCTGAAACTGCGATACTTTAAGACTAATATTTTTTTTTAATGGAAACTATAGACATCTTGTAGCAGATGCCCCTAAACTTATATGTTGTTAAAAATAAGGCATTAAATTATTGTATAACCAAACACAGAAAAATAGTAAATTAATAAATCATACAAGTATTTATTTGCTATAGACAAATTTATTTAATTTTATCAATTCGTGTTTTCTGAAAATTTATAAAATCCTTCATTAAAAATAAAATATAGGATAGTTAATGTTATTGCAGACACAGGAGCAATGAAAAATTAATCGAAGCGAAGCCATGTAGTGGCCGACGCCCGCAAACATTTTTGTTGAGTGCTTGAGTTGCTTATCTATAATTAATTTATGTGTATTATCTATGATGATAAAGGTAATTAGTCAAGTTAGCTGAATACTGTTATGAACTTTTGAATACATATCGCAGGTGAAAACGGGAACGTGAATAAAATTGACTTTTAAATCAGGGGCACCTTAATATATGGGACAACCCTACTCTAGGGCTATCCTACAAATTTCAAACAGAATTTTATGTGCAAACTTCCTTCATGTGTTTTAAACTGCTAAATTTATTAGATATCAATTGGATTAAATAAAAATTTTAATACAAAAGCAAAATGCGTTGTTAGTAACACGCATTTATTAACTTGGTATTAGTGTATCTTTTATGATCATATTCGCCGACATTAAGATTAAGAACTTGAAAATTCACACATGCATCAAGATTCGATGACCATACAACAACTTTATAACTCCGCTCTAGTATTCCGATCAGTATCGCCATGATTAAAAAAGATCAAATTAATTGTTGATATTTTATAGTTATTTTGGTCTGTACATAATCTGTATCATAAAAGAAAAACAATCGTTTCATTTCCAGGCGAGAAACCGTATTCCTGCGCTTGGGCGGGTTGCGAATGGCGCTTCGCCCGCTCCGACGAACTAACCCGGCACACTCGTAAGCACACGGGGCTCCGCCCCTTCACCTGCTCCGTCTGCGCTCGCTCGTTCGCGCGCTCCGACCACCTCGGCCTGCACATGAGGCGGCATTGAAGAATCGACCTAAAGATCACTAAGTAAGGCGTACATTACTATCTCAACATGAATCAACGTATCTGCGTGCGTGTTTCCTCTTTCGGCTTAATAAACATGAATCAATAAAAACTTCACAGAAATAAACACGAGTAAAACGTGAAATAAATCGTCAGTTTTAGATTACCAGCAAAAATAAATAATTACCGAGTGATTTAGAGTAAGTAACACATTATAATAATGGCGGTCAGACTTCGTTGCTTATATACGGTATTGAGAGTTCACGTTCAACATTAATTCAAGTGACCGCTAGATTAAGGCAATTTGAAGGCGTGATCCTGAAGTCGGTCCTTCAGGATAATAGTTTAGGCCTGCGAAGGATATAGCGCGAATTGACTTTAAAATCTCTTCTATCTTGAATGTAGTTAATATCTATAGCAAATGCTGACTTTGATTTTTGATAAATGAATTGAATTGAACTCTGAATGTGTTTGTTAGGTTTCTTGAAGAATTTTTAACCGATTCAAATGTTTGGATTGTGGTTTGTAGATGGCGGTACAAAGATTTCAACCTTGATATATAGATGGCGCCACACGATTAAATTCAGAAATTTACTATCCTTTAATTTTTTCTCTGTGAAATCTGTTGTTCATTTATGTGGCTTGTTTTTTTGTTTCTTCAACTATATAGAGTATTGTGAAACCTTATTTAGTAGTGTTATTGAATCATCGCAGTACCACGAACCCCTTTTGTTTTGTATCGCGTGACGTTTCTCATAAAAATCACTTATTTTAGTCATTTGTTGTCTGTATTGTATGTTCTTCGAACTTCACCCAAGATAACCGTTCTTAATTGACCTTCCGTGTGCTGATAAGTCTATGTTAAGACTTTCTATTCGTAATGTACGTTATTGCGTGTTGAAGATACCATAGCAAAACTAGATCAACCGATTCATTAATCTCAAAGTGGATTATAATACGCGACGCTTCTAGTGTCTTAATAAATCTACTGACAACATTATCCTCGACCGAAAAAGACTTATAATAAGGGCATTATGTTATTGTGATTTTTTTGCTCAAATAAAATGACAATATTTTTAATATAAATTTAAGTGAATAGTTTTATAAATAGATTTTTCTTATACACGATGTTATTAATAAGTATGCTAATGAATTGTTATCTCAATTTCTCGGAGCCTCATCGTCTAAAGAGCTTGCTATTCTGCGGGCGGATAGTCCTAAGTAGCGATTAGAGAGTAAACAGCAGAAGTTGTTATATGAAAGCTTTTATTCGGTAAATAAGATAACTTAAAAGCTAATTGTGGCGGTAAGTTAGCGAGACCACCACTAAATAAATTCCAATATACGTCATATAAGCTTGAATATAAAAAAATGTGGGTTAGGCCACTTTTGCGCTGATGGCCTCATTTATTTTTTCCTTGAATTTGCGGCCTGATATGAAGAAGCACATATGAGCGTGCTATTTTATTTTCAAGGTAATATAATAAAAATATATATTGTGTATAAATCTTAAAGCCAGCAATAAAACTACTAGTATAATAAGGTATACGCACGTAAATATAGTTATTTTTATATTTTTAAAAGGAATATTAAGGTCGAGATTGGTTTGGCTCCGCTAATACATACACGTTCAATTCAGACCTTATATTGTAGGACGTAAGGGAGCTTTTTCTGAAACAAATTATGTATTCGTGTACCTTAGTAGCGGAAACATTTGTTGTAAATGTGTATTATTTAGAATTAATTAAACACATGGGGCCAGTATTCCTGTAAAAATTCGTACTGTATTAAGTATTATTTTTTTATTAGTATAATTTTCTTAATTTCCTTTGGTAACAGTGGCAATAATATTTGATCTCAAATTGGTTTAATTTTTTATTGAAATTGTGATTTTTATATTTTTCTATTAAAACGCCATCTGTTTTTAAAGGAGCAAAACATTGCAATAAGTTTTGTATTATAAATTTGGAATATACTATAGAAAAATGATTTATGAAACATTAAAAAAAAAACATCAATTTTTATTTTAAAAAAATATAGAAAAGTCCAGTCGGTTCTTTCTCGCATCGGCAGATGGCGTTATATTAAAATCTTTAAAAAATGTTGATAGATCTTTAAAAAAAATTTATTGTGATCTCAATTTTCGTCTCTACAATATAACTTAAAAAAAAACTACATATATATCAATTTTTACAATGTCTTTTATTATTATTTTTAGTTAGCATTTTCGCAGGCCAGTAAATGTTAGTGCGATTATGGTTCTTAATTTCAGAGCTGTTCGGTAGGTTTTTGTTGGTTTCTTTAAACAATATTTTTAATATGAATAAAAAAAAACATGATCTAATATAAATTTATTTAGCGCCATCAAAATATAATTCCAACGCATTACTAGCTCTGAAATTTCGAACGAAAATTTTATATGTTAAGTTTTTATAAGTAGATTTAATAATGAAAATTAGGTGCTAAATCTAATGCTAATGATGGTGTAATTAATCTAAGAGGAAAACGCTTTCCTTATAATTAAATATGAAGAGTATTTTTTATGTCTTCCGTGACCACTAAACCGGGTGCTAGACTTTGAGAATCATACCCTGAAAATGAAGGTTGTTGAGTCGAATATCCAAGATATCGACTTTTCATTCCATATGAATGCGGAAAATTCAGAAGCTACATCAATACTATTTCTCGTCCAGTAGTCGAAATTAAAAATATTCATAAATTATTTATATTAATACGAATTTGTTGGTGCTGGAGATAATTAGTGGATTAGCGGATAAGTGTTTAGAAAATGATTCCTATATTAATTAGGTTAGTTCAGATCACGTTTGTACCTTTTCGCTATATATTTTTTTTGATTGTTTTGTGAAAAATAAAATTTTATAACAAGCCTTTGTTTTGTGTTTTTTTTTGTTTCATTAATCGGTTAATTAACGCACGGTCCACCTGGTGTTAAGTGGTTGCTTGAGCCCGTGGACATCATAACGTGAATGCCGCCGTTCACCTACATATTTGAGGTCTATGGCACTCCTCCTTCTCCATCATCGTGGAAATCATTTGTGAACTTTTTTTAAGTACTTGAGTTTTTGAAATGGTATAGTCGCATGTAAGTCAGAACCAGGTCAAAATAGCTGCTAGGGATGGTACTGGTGGATGCTAAAGCCAAGACACCGGAAAGAATATAGTGCTTATGAAGAAACCTTCACTCAGGTTTGACTGTACACAGGTTAAAGAAGAGACAGTCGCATAGCTTGACACCAGTAGACCTTATCCACTAGGCCACAACGACCTCATATTTACGTAACGCAGGAGATCTTACGATTCGATAGTATCCGCATCTGGCTGGCACTTATAGAACTATAATTTGAATTATAAAAAAAAAAAAAAATGCGTAATTACTAGTGGTAGGACCTGTTGTGAGTCCGCACGGGTAGGTAACACTGCCCTGCCTATTTCTGCCATGAAGCAGTAATGCGTTTCTGTTTGAAGGGCGGAGCAGCCGTTGTAACTATACTGAGACCTTAGAACTTATATCTCAAGGTAGGTAGCGCATTTACGTTGTAGATGTCTATGGGCTCCGATAACAGCTTAACAGGTGGGCCGTGAGCTCGTCCACCCACCTAAGAAAAAAAAGCCCACTTTACTTCTTTTCGGGTAATTATGAGCTTTCAGACCTGAGACCGCATTTATATTACCTGTCATTGTTATAACAGAACACCACAAAGACTGAATTCGTTTACCAAGTTACGGAAATGAAAATTATAGCGTGCACAGCCCTATTCCTTCTAGGTCTCTGCGGGGGAAGAAAGCGGGGGGGGGGGGGGGGGGGTTGGAGTAGAAATCGCTGGTCGACCACCGTAGTCACTGAATGATTATTAGTCTATAGAGGAAATATGTTAAATTGTGTTCAGATCAGCTATCTATCTTTTAATTAGTATTCTTTTTAGAAGACAAACAGTGAACTTAAAATATATATAAACTAACTGTCGTGGCGTACAACCTGTTTGACGGTACATAAGACACCTACAACTAGACACAGTGTAAGACAGACACTTGACAAGAATTCGAAAATAAAGAGAGAAATGGAACGAAGGCGGACGTGACCAGAGTCAGGGATTTACTTATAATGACCTCCTAAAAGACGGACACGAACCAGACGATAAGGAACGAATTGACCGTGACTAACTTTACAACTAAAAACCATTTGAATGTCTCCGCATTTAAATAACTAAACGTCCATTGTTCGTTGCTCGCTCATCATTAAACTATACTTTGAAACGCGCGATTAGAAACGAAATAGAACAACGCCATCTAGTTTTCAGTGAACACACTAATTTGAAATTAAATTCGATCTTCATTAAAAAAAACTCTTTTGTTTACAGAAAAAGTTTATTTGAAGTTTAGCTTATCTGACATAATTGAAATCAAAACACCGGTGTCATGTAGCAAAGGGAAATAACGTGAAAAATTAATCAAAAACAAAAAAAAACATGTAAAAATATCCAAAAATAAAGAAAAAGCTGATCGTTCAAAATGGCGTACGTATGCAATGCAGCATTATGTAGTAACAAATATTTAATGACAAATTATTTATAAGCTGTACTTTTAGCTCCTTCGTAGCATCCTGCTCATTTCTGCCGCTTAGCAGAATTTTTGCTTGAAGCGTAGCTCTGCCGTTATATAAAGTGATACCCACACCTATACTTAATTACTAAATTAAATGAATAATATAATATTATTAATTTCAAGATCGGTGGCGCATTTACGTTGTAGATGTTTATGGGCTCCAGTAACCACTTAACACCAGGTGGGCTGTGAGCTCGTCAACGTAAATGCGCCATTCTTGAGATATATGTTCTAAGGTCTCAAGTATAGTTACAACGGCTGCCCCACCCTTCAAACCGAAACGCATTACTGCTTCACGGAGAAATAGGCAGCGTGGTGGTACCTACCCGCGTGGACTCACAAGAGGTCCTACCACCAGTAAGATGACTTATCTAACTCTCTGCAATTAGCCCTCATCGAAGAAAATAGCAATTAAAGTGACCATACAGCCACACAGCCTTATGATAAACTCGAATACTGTGGCAGAAAGACAAAAAGTCACGTCCCAGTTGCTTCCTAATTTCTTTTTTATATTTACGGGCAAAGGGTACATTCGGGAACATAGTGCCTAAGATATTATCGAAAATCTACCACATGAATTTTACAGTTGTGAAGTATGCGATCACTGCCACGAATCTCTACATCGTAACGAAGATATTGTGGTTTGGGAAGGATACAGCTTCCACAACAGATGCCACAAATGTTGTTAGTGCCAATGTTTTAATTGCGTTTTCGAACGGACAATCATTTATCATTATACTTTATACATAAGCGCCTAACCTAGTACATATATCTTTTACAAACAGCCTATCATTGGGAATTGATTTAAACTTTCGCCACCCACCTTGAGATATGAGTTCTAAGGTCTCAATAAAGTTACAACGGCTGCCCGGCCCTTTAAACCGAAACGCATTACTGCTTCACGGCAGAAATAGGCAGGGTGGTGGTACCTTTCCGTGCGGACTCACAAGAGGTCCTATCACCAGTAATTACGTAAATTATAATTTTGCGGATTTGATTTTTATTACACGATGTTATTCCTTCAACGTGGAAGTCGATCGTGAACATTTGTTAAGTGCGTATTTCATTAACAAAAATTGGTATCCGATTTTGTCTACGTTTAGCTTATTGACGATCTTTCGAATGATGTTCCTTAGTGTACGTAGTCGCGTTCAAACGATTTCTGTGAAATTTGCGCAGTCGTTTTATTGACTGTTTGTTACACGAGACATACCGAGCAATAAGTTTCCCTGACGTATGGCGTAGAATTTGAGAATGGGACATTACCTTCTAACGGTGCCGCCTTTGAAGCTGAAACACAAATATTAGGGCTGTTGTAAACAACATACAAATACATTATTACGTCATACATACGTCCTACTCCTATCATCTGTGGGTTTCTAGCAAATCAGCTTATGCGCGTGTCCGCAGCTGTGGGCTGCCGGCTACACACCCTCTTAAAATCGCTCGCAACAAAACATACGTACGGTCATGAAGTCTTTTAAAAATAGTACAAGACTGGCTGCACGCACGAAAAAGTGTCACGTTCCGACCGAGCCTGAGCGAGAGAGTGGAACAAGAGAGGCACGATCGGCCCAAGCGTTGGCTTATGACACGTTTATCTCTCTTCTCGCGTGACGTCAGCGCTAGCAGTTCGAATAGTTCTGCTACTGACGTTATCATGTTCAACTGTCGTCCGTAAACATACTATTAAAGACAAGCAATTATTTATCTGACAGTCGTCTGCAGCGAAACTGATCTGCTGAACGCGGAAATCTTCAAGGGCGCTATATTCTGCGGCAAATGTTCGAAGAGAATTTTCAATGATTGCGCATCAGCCAAACAAATTAGAAAACCTAAAATTAGAACCAAATATAGGAGGACGCGGAGAACGAAACGAAGCACGGATAAGAAGGGATCTAATTATAGTGGACCGGGTTATAAAGAAATTGACAGGTACTATTTTAAATTGATGCATTCGTAATTTCGTAGTTCAATCTTATTTACTTGCTCACAAAGAACTCTATAGATCATGACCTGTGTTTGATGATGAAAAGAGGAGGAAATGGTAGCGGTTGATCCCAACCGACGAATGGTCGGGTCATCCAATTGCCCAGCCCGAAAATAACCAAGGTAGCCCACTAGGTTTCTTGCCGGATCTTCTCAGTGGATCGCGATTGCGATATGGTGGGCTAGTGTTAGCAAATTCTCTCAGGTTGAGCCCGTGAGCTTATCTACCCGTCCGGGCGTAGCTGAAATAGCCTCATAGGCTACCATCGAATCGATAGGAAAAAAAATGTTTCAGTTAGTAATTTTTAAATAGGTTAATTCGCTCGTCGAACTCTTGACGGTGACCGGTGGTTGAGAGGCCTAAAAGCACCGAGAGTGAAACTAAAACATCAAAAGCGATGTACTATACTTACAATACCCCGCCATTTTATGAAAGTTAGCAGTTTCATCTATCGGGAATATTTAGTTCAGTTCCGCGGTCAATAGATGTCGCTATTTTTAACAAGGAGTAATGCAGTGATTCCGCTAATAGATGCGAGCTAGTATCGTTCTTTTGTGGAATCATTTAAATGCTTTCAAATTTTTACAGCAAGACGCAAGCCATTCACGATCCTATAGTGGTGACATACAAAAAAGGAGAAAAGGTAAGGTTTAATTACAAAATGTAGCTTGTTTTAGGCTAATTTTGTACTTAAGAGTATCGTATGTGTAGTTATGTCACAACACGTACCTACTGGCTTTTCATATACGAGAGCTTTCGTAATAAATAACTGTGATTTCAACCTCACTTCTTAAGGTGACGGGACAGCGTGACCGGGACTTAGTTCAATTAGATGAGAGTTCGTTTATTCGTGCTACAAAAATAAGCACATGTGGCACTCGGGGACTGCCGCGGTAAAGCTATTGCATAGCATTTTTTATCAACTTATGCAATTATAATTAGACAATATTAATTTAATATTAAAACAAAAAAATAATAAGACCAAACTATATTTTACATTAACAAAAGCAAAACATTAACTGACCCTTCACACTCATAAGCTAGACCGCGCGAGAGAGTGATGGGCAGACTTTTCAGGATGCGCATGCAGTGCGACGTCACGCCGCGCGCTTATTTACAAACATTACACAAGAGCAACGTTGACTTCCACGGTGAAGGAATAACATCGTGTTATAAAATTATAATTTGCGTAATTACTGGTCGTGGAACCTCTTGTGAGTCCGCACGGAGGTACCACCGCCCCGCCTATTTCTGCCATGAAGCAGTAATGCGTTTCGGTTTGAAGGGTGGGGCAGCCGTTGTAACTATACTGAGACCTTAGAACTTATATCTCAAGGTGGGTGGCGCATTTACGTTGTAGATGTCTATGGGCTCCAGTAACCACTTAATATCAGGTGGGCTGTGAGCTCGTCCACGCAACAAAAAAAAAGTGTTCGGGTGTTAGATTTTATTTTCGTTACGAAATGTCTTGATTCGGTCGCCGCGCTCAAAAAGCCCGCGATAAAAGCTTTGCAATAACTTAAAAAAAACTGCTGATAGGAAGTAGTAATTTTTATTTATTTTGTTTTCAGAATAATCGACCCATAAGAAAAATTTGCATCGGTAAATATTTAATTAGACATTGAAAGAAAAGACGTATTTATTTTTCAAATTCCCCGTTTATTTCGTAAGCTTTGATTGTTTAACGTATTCTATTTTTGTAATAGATTTAGAGTATACATTTTTGAACTGTAAAAAAAAGGTATCTAAGTTCGGCTGTCTTTAAAATGTTCTTTTTAGAATGTTTCATTCAAGAATTTAGTTATCAGTCAGCCGAATTTTGAATTTTCTTGAAATTTCATCAAAAGCGGTTCAGTACTTTCGTTTTAAGAAATTAATAATTAATAAATCAAAATTATGTTTCCGTTCAAGTTAAACGAACCTGTGTGTATTAAAGTTGCATTGCTATTATCTTATTTAAAAATTATTTCAGAGTTCGTTTATCTATCGGATACTAGATGGCGTTGAATACGATTTCAGATTCTCAATACACGTCTAATATTTGAAGTTGAAACGCAGAATTACTTGGCGAATTTAAAACAACAGAAGACGATGCTTATTTTTTTAGCGTCACCTAGTGTTGTGTTTAACCGTGGGGTCCAAAGACAGCAACAATAATAATAGAAACGATCTTGAAACTCGAGGTTTATCTCCCAATCTTATAGTAACCACACATGTATATTTTGATTTTTGAACGCTTTTTTTATTGCTTAGATGGGTGAACGAGCTCACGGCCCACCTGATCTTAAATGGTTACCGGGAGCGGAAAGTAAATGGCGCCACCTACCTTGAGATATGAGTTCTAAGGTCTCAAGTATAGTTACAACGGCTGCCCCGCCCTTCCAACCGAAACGCATTACTGCTTCACGGCAGAAATAGGCAGGGTGGTGGTACCTACCCGTGCGGACTCAGAACACGTGCTACTACCAGTAAATTACGCGTTTAGTATAATTATGTAAGCCGCCTGCGGGATCCGAACACCGGCACATTCGCGTCGCGCGATACGAATGCACCGGTGTGCTTAGTGCGAGTTTTTTAACGTTTTCGATAGCGTAAAAGTTAACTCTGATTTGTATGGGGTTGGAACGTTTGCCTACGTTTGCCGCTAGGGGCGCTGCTCCAACTGCATACAAAATTGGCTTAACTTTTACGCTATCGAGAAAGTTAAGAAACTCGCACTAAGCACACAGATATCTTAACCTTTAGGCCGCAACCACTATGATTTGACATAATCAATTAGCATGATATCTTCTTAAATTCAGACACGGGTATAACGACAGTGGTAACTCAGGAGCTGTTAGACCACTTCAACAATGTACAGTCTTCGAAAGAACGGTAATAATTTTTTATTTTATTTCATAGCAACGAAAGCCAATGAAATAAATAATAGTTAACAAAAATTAATAAAATACACTTTTATAGAAAATCCAACTAAAAAATAGATTAATAAATTTAATAAAATATAATAAATTTTAATAAATTTGAATTAAAAATAGTGTAAGAAAAAATAATTTTATTGTAAAAAAACATGGGATGCTTTTCAGGATATTATCAAAATAACCCTTCTACTCATATCTGTTCATAAAATATTTATAACTACTGATACCATGCACCCTACGCTTTTTTTTTTTACAATAAAATCATTTTTTCTTACATTATTTTTAATTCGAATGTATTAAAATTTATTTTAAATTTTTAGTTGGATTTTCTATAAAAGCGTATTTTGTTAGTTTTTTTAAACTATTATTTCTCATTTTTTTGTTGATTTTAAATTTTTTATAATATTGGATTGTCATCGATCCTTAATAAGTTTATCAAATTTCAAGTTAAACCGACGTTTTGAAGGGGGTCAAAATCATGTTCAAAGATTCCGTTACATACATACGTCTGAAGCTAATAAAAGGGTATTAAAAGAAAACTATTCATTTTGGGGGACCGAAAAATCCGATACAAAAATGGCGGGAAACCGGTTTTATGTGTTTTTTTTTCGTTTTTAAAGTTTACAGGACGTCCTACCACTGGTAAAGGATGAACAGATTCTGACGATTTTTCTCTATGGCCGGTAGATTTTTTGATTCAAAAACTCCAGCGTATAATTTAGGACACACGTGATTTAGACATAATTATCATTCTCCTGCCCTTCTCCCAGTCACCTAGGGTCGGCGCAACATGTTTTCTCCTTCCATACTCTATCATATACAATTTCTTCGCTCACTCCCCTCTTACACATATCGTCTTTCACGCAATGCATCCATTTCTTCTTAGGTCTACCTCTTTCTCTAAAGCCTTCACGTGATTTAGACAATAATACTATTATTTCTGATTGTCCTTCAAGGAACGATATGTCCTGTCAGAAGATTTATTCAAACGATTCGAACGACAGCGTAAGTTTGATTCAATTTTATAAGATTGACATATCCCATCTTTAGAATTGGAGTGGCATAATTAAAATATATTTTTTTATTATTTACATGGGTGGACGAGCTCACAGGCCACTTGCTGCTAAGTGATTACTGAAGCCCATAGAGATCTACAACGTAAATGCGCCACCCACCTTAAGATATAAGTTCTAAGATCTCAGTATAGTTACAACGGCTGCCCCGCCTTCAAACTGAAAAGCGTTGCTGCTTCACGGCAGAAATAGACAGGGCGGTGGTACCTACCTTTGCGGACTCACAAGAGGTCCTACCAACAGTAATTACACAAATTATAATTTTGCGGGTTTCATTTTTATTACACGATGTTATTCCTTCACCGTGGGAGTCAATCGTGAACATTTGTTGAGTACGTAATTCATTAGAAAAATTGGTACCCGCCTGAGATTCGAACACCGGTGCATCGCTCAACACGAATGCACCGGACGTCTTATCCTTTAGGCCACGACGACTTCGGCCTACCACCAGTGTCTGACAAACATACTTATACACGTTTTACTTGTATAGGTATGTTTGTATATAGATAATAAACGCCCAGACGAAGATCAAACAAACTTGCTCATCACACGAACGTTTGCCCGACGTGGGAATCGAACCCACGACCCTCGGAGCAACAGTCAGTGGCGCTAGTACTGCTCCAACAGTTTTTGCGGCAACGGACTATTAAGATAACCCTATATTTTTCTATTGTTATTTGCAGAACAGAACCGTATGCAGCGATATGAGAATAGCTGGTAAATGTCTTTAGGGATTTTTAGCATTCCTTTTTAATACTTCTTCTTCTTCGTAGTATCCTCATCGAATATCATGACCACAGGCATGTAAGTTGGTCCTTGAAGATAGGTCCCCTGTGAAGTGGTGGGTAGCCATCATAGATACAGCCACAAGATATTTGACAGATGCCTGAATCTCGCTTACGACACTTTCAAGATAAGCTCCCAAGACAAGCTCCGAACAACAACATTCGGACCTCACGCAGAAGTCAGTCACCGACGTCGCCCTAGACACGTCCTTGTGGATCCATCAGATCCAATAACTCTTGCATTAGACGCCTTCAGCTCTAACACTAGAAGCAGGCTTAGGGACCCCGGTAACTGTACTCGTCGAACTCGACAAAGAGGTCGACGTTCAACCTAACCCATGCATCAGCTCGCTGAGTTTCTCGCCGGATCTTCTCAGCGGTTCGCGATTCCGATCCGGTAGTAGATTCATTCGCGAAGCAGCTGCTCTTGGGTTAGTATTATTGCTTTGTTAGGTAGACCAGCTCACAGCCCACCTGGTGTTAAGTGGTTACCGGAGCCCATAGACATCTACAACGTAAATGCGCCACCCACCTTGACATATAAGTTCTAAGGTCTCGATATAGTTTTATTTATCTACCTGTAATAATCTAAATCTGTGTGAAAGGCAATAAATGATTTTATTATTATTGTTATTTCTAGAACTAGGAGCGTCCACGGAAATAGCTAATATGGCGTTGAAGAAATCCGAGCTACCGGCCGCAAAGAAATCGGATGTCGCTAGGTAAATAGGCGGTGGCTTGCCTGTGCCCCTGGCTGATGTCCACGGGCAACGGTAGCCGCTCGTCTTCAGAGGGGCAATGTGTCGGTCCACCCGCCAAAAGAAGAGACGTACATTCTACGCCTAATCTTATCTGATGTTAAACATTGTTATAAACTATTTTTTTACTGGTGGTAGGACGTCTTGTGAGTCCGTACGGGTAGGTACCACTGTCCTGCCTATTTCTGCCGTGAAGCAGTAATGCACCAGTAATGCGTTTCGGTTTGAAGGGTGGGGCAGCTGTTGTAACTATACTTGAGACCTTAGAACTTACATCTCAAGGTGGGTCGCGCATTTACGTTGTTGATGTCTATGGGCTCCAGTAACCACTTAACACCAGGTGGGCTGTGAGCTCGTCCACACATCTAAGCAATAAAAAAAAGGCCCCGATCACTTAACGTCAGGAGGGCCGCGAGCTCGTTCCCTAAACGAGTTTACTGGACGTGTTTTTTAAAGGCGTGTTTTTTTTTAATATTTTTCTTCTCTCTCAACTTCTATCCCCGCCCAATTCTGAGTGTAGATCTCATCTTAAGCACTTTATTATTTTCGGTAGCTTCTCCAGTCGCCAATTTTTTATTTATTTACAGATTAGAGAGTAGTGTCAATTACTGCCAGAGGTCTTCGTCATCCAAACTAGATTCTGGTACAAAATGTTTTTAATTTTATTGTTGTAATGTTTTTTTTTTTTTTCATTTGTTTTACACCACTCGAAGACAAACTTGTCCTGCAGTCACCTTGAATAATATAGAGATCCCGCAATCTGAAAATGCAAAGTACTTAGGGATGTACCTGGATAGGAGACTGACTTGGAGAAAACATATATTCACCAAGCGTCTTGCGGTGGGTCAGCAAATACGTAAATTGTATTGGCTTCTTAATAGAAAGTCTCAACTGTCAGTTGAAAACAAGCTTTTACTATACAAATCTGTTATTAAACCCATTTGGTCATATGGCATCCAATTGTGGGGTACTGCGTCAAACTCAAATATTGAAATCCTTCAAAGATTTCAATCAAAAACGCTCAGGATGATAGTGAACGCACCATGGTATGTTACAAATGAAAGAATCCATTATGATCTTGCCATAAGAAAAGTCAAACATGAAGTAATCCATCGAGCTAAAGCATATTGTGTAAGATTGGAAGCCCATCCGAATAACCTTGCTAAGCATTTAATGGACAACCTAATGACTACTAGAAGACTCAGAAGAAGAGTGCCTCAAGATCTACTAGATCTACTGTAGATTAATTNTATATTTAAATTTTACATTAAAAACGAATGGATGAAACATTGATAGCCTCAAATTAACTTTTACTTACCTCATAATTTTTATTTAACGTTAAATTCACTCACAAAGTAACAACAAATCTAGAAAAAGCAAAATAAAAACTTCCGACCGCTCGAAATTGTTTTGAAAACAATTAAAATTTTGTTTTTTAATTCTGGTATTCGCCAGTGCACGCAAAGGAACTTAGCGTACAGCCAGAAATTACAATTAATTTCATAAATATATGACTTTTAATTTTCTTTTTAGATATATTAGATGTGGTTTAGACACCAAAGCTTAAATTCATAGTATTTTCTTACAGAATGCTTCTAAATACAAAGAAAAACTGAAACCGGTAAGCTTCGATTTACATTTGCGTGTATACGGCTATCCCTAGTAGTATTGTAAACAAACTTCGTTGTCACTTCACTTCGCTCGAGGCAGGGTAATTAAGATTAGTGTTTACAGAATGCCAAATCAAGGTCATTCCATTGCGAATGCGAAGTGATGGAGAATTTCGTAGTGAGATGCGAGTTCTTGTTTGAATTTTAGAGAATCGCACGGCAGGTGGGCTGTGAGCTCGTCCGCCCATATAAGCAATAAAAAAAAAGCTTCATTTTTTAAATTCCTTCTAGGTGATTCCGATTATCTTTGCGACGATTGCCGATTTAGAAGAATTTATTTAGAAGATTCGAATAGCAGGTTTGTTGAGTCTTTCGTATTGTGGGCCAATGGGAAACTTGCTTGCTTGCCGGTTCTAAGACAGCGGCTCTCAAAGTTTTTTCTTTCTGCACGGCACATTTTTGACGTTCAAATTTTACATTAAATTTGTTTTTCGTGAAATTTGAAAATCTTTGATCTAAGATCTGTTTACTCACTTGCAAAATTGTTATAATAAGGTGTGCTCAAGAAATAATAGTTAGTAGAGCGTTTATTAAGGGATTTAATTACATGTAAGAACAGTTTTAATGACTAATAAGTATGTCGTATGATTATTGTACGAATATGTGTCTTTGTTGATAATTATTATTAATCTAATGAAAGTCGCCGTGGCCTAAAGGATAAGATGCCCTGTGCATTCGTATCGGGCGAAGTACCATTTTTTTCTAATGAAATACGTACTTACAAATGCTTTCACGGTGAAGGAATAACATAGTGAATCGTAGTCAATAGAACTGAGACTTCGAGCTCATGTCTTACGGCGGGTGACGGCATTTATGTTGTTGATGTCTATGGGCTCTAACCAATTAACACCAGGGGGACCTTTGATGTTCGAAACATTTTTTGTATAGAAAAATCTTGACTCTTTTTTTTCCTAGGTACTGGACCCAAAGACGCATCTCAAGCATCGTGAAGATGCCCTTTAAAAGCTGTAAGTTGAATCTTGAAGTTTTTTTGTTTTTTTGTTTTTAAATGTGTTTCGTGTAAGTTTTGCTTAGATCGGATGACGAGCTTTTCGACGTAACAACATGAAAAGATTCTTACAAATATAACTTTGAGTATCGGTTTAATTTGAATAAAACCTACGTAATTTTTTATGTTTAGTGGAAATTATCGTAATCACAAAAGCACACACCCACACAAGAAGAAGACACACCCACGCACATAGGTAATCTTAGATCATCTTTTAGAGAGCATCGTTTTTTTTTTATTGCTTAGATGGCTGGACTAGTTCACAGTCCACCTGGTGTTAAGTGGTTACTGGAACTTATAAACATCTACAACGTAAATGCGCGACCCACCTTGAGATGTAAGTTCTAAAGTCTCAGTATAGTTACAAAGGCTGTCCACCGAAACGCATTACTGCTTCACGGCAGAAATAGGCTGGGCGGTGGTACCTACTCGTGCGAATTCACAAGAGGTCCTACCACCAGTAATTACGCAAATTATAATTTTGCGGGTTTGATTTTTATTACACGATGTTATTCCTTCACCGTGGAAGTCAATCCTGAATATTTGTGAAGTACGTATTTTAATAGAAAAATTGGTACTTGGGTATACACAAAGTGCACTAAATGCAATCATCCTAATATCATCCTACCAATGCTAAAAGTCCGAGCCCCAGCGCTGCTTAACAACAATTACACAACAACCATTTAACGGGTACTCTAGGATTCTCAATCCCCCAGTTAGCTTTGATGGATAGCTTCATCAACTGTCCCTTACTAGTGGAGTTTTCCCGGCTCATGTAAGACCCAATGACCGTCGACGCCCTAAATACAAATGTAAGCGGACCCACCTCCGATCCACTAACACTGTTATTAGCCACCCGCAGCTCTAGCGCTAGGAGCAGGCTTAGGCACCCTGATAGTCCTACTCATCGAGTCCCCGGAAGAGCTTGACATCATAGCATCAGCCCGTTGAGTTAATCGCTGGATCTTCTCAGCGGGTCGTGATCCCAATCCGATAGTAGATGGAGTCGCAAAGCGGCTGCCCTCCAGTTGTTTTCCGACCCAATGTGGCTGGGATCATGCTCGTCTACCTACTCTGGCGAAGCTGAAAAGACGCTCAAGCCAGCAGTTAGTATTTCCATCCTTGATTTGCACCGTGTGGAAAGATAAGAACTCTGTCTCAAACTTGGCTACGTCATTGAGGATGCTTAAATATCTTTTATTGTGGTTTCTTTCAGTCAAACAGAACATTTTAGATCGCAGCTCATTGGTAAATATGGCGTTGGACATGGAGTCTAGCGAATCGTGAGTATTTTTCTCGGTTTTATTTCGTTGTTTCGGGAGAAACGACTTCCTTTGCTATAAACGAGATGATGGCTTGGATTTGCCACATGTCCATCAAAATGTGGGTCCGTGTGGATGGAGCCTCGTGGGGCGAAAGATAACCCAAATACTGACCCTGAATTGGAACCACTTTTATGTCGTTTTTCGGTCAACATCGGTTCAGTTATTTCGGCTTCAATACATCACAGATAAAAAGTTTTATACATACTAATAATATATGACGGCGCAAGGGATGGCTGAGCGGCAGATACGTCATCAATTATAATCGGTGGAACTCAGTTTATTGCAATAACAGCCAATAAGGCCTTTTGAATAATAATTATACAGACTCTTGACAAATAATTTCCACGATGACAGTAGGTAATTGAACAGTTTCGTTCTGACCATAGACCTATATAGTAGGGACACGACATATTGTTCTATACGTACTATTGCTTATATAAATAGCACCCATTTTGAAGGCACACACATAAACATATATCTATCTCGTTCTTACTCAGCACTTTAACTCGCAGGAAAACAATATAACAGTATTTCAGTGCGTACATAAAATGAAACATGAATATACGTAAATGTCTCCGTCTCCNTCCATGACTCATCGCCGCCAAGCATCGACGCCACGACGCCAGGCAGCGACAAGTCAGGTCCTATCTTTGCGACCAGGACACGGCGCTGCACCTCCCAAGCGGGGCAGACAGCGAGCGTATGCTCCGCCGTGTCCAGGTCGTGTCCACAATGGTGACACCTCGTCGTCGGCTCAGCCCCTATCCGGCGCAGGTACTTCCCGAAGTATCCGTGCCCGGTCAGCACCTGCACCAGACGAAAGGTGAGACGTCCTTCGCCACGATTCACCCAGTCATCAAAGACCGGGTAAACTGTTACAACTATGCCTAAAGTTTGTTTTTATTTTGTCACGTACGGAACGTATCCCCTATAAGATCTTATATGTAAATTATTATTTCACATTTACTTGTTTCTGTATACGCGGCGTATTCACGGAACATATGGTCCGCATAAAAAGAGTTTTTACCTTCGATCAACAAATTGTTGATCGAAGGTTTTTACTGTATTCTGATGTTGTGTCGTCTACCCAAATTTTATTTCGATGTTTATCATTTAAATAACCATCAAAACAATGTCTTAATATTACATAAAACGTTTTCCATGACATATTATGATTATTATGTAAATTTATTTTACAGGAATTTCATTGAGAAAATGAAAATATTATTTTATGAAGACATCAGCGAACACTACCGTTAGTCGAATCGATTTTGCAATTTCTTTTGTAACGTTTATTTCATTGCTTGGCCGTGTGAACGAGCCCAGGGCTCACCTTCTGCCCTTTGCCCTAGAAAAAAAAGGGCCTATCGGATATTAAAATCTCAGCGGGTCATGACTCCAGTGGTAGATTCTGCGAAGCACTGCTCTAGCTAGGGCTAGTGTTGGCAAATCTCTCAGGATGAGCCCGTGAGCTCATTTACCCGTTTGATGAAGCTATAACCCCTTGAGATTACTAGATGTAGGTAGGAAGAAAAAATCGAGTTGACAATGGCTTGAATCTCTATTCGGACTTTATGGCGGGACGCGAGGAGTGAAGCTGTGTGATTTATTTTGTTTTGTCTATTTAGTGTTTCTTCATGTTTATATGTGTAATAACGGTGGTTTATTAACTATTTAGTATAACTGTGAAAGTGCACAAATGCGGGAAAATGAAACAAAGCCGCTGGACGTAACTTCTCGGGATTCTCCAAAAAGTCCACTGAAAAAAATCACAGTAAATGACCACCATTTTACTGAGATTATATTTAATCCCATATCTCATCTCATTTAATTTAATTTCATCTTCGTTGATTAATGTCTCAAATTTATCATCTTCATTTTATTTCATTTCACTCCATATAATCAATTTTCATAAAAATAAGAATATAAATTAAAATAAGACATAACCTAAATAAAAGGCCTTGGTTCCATGTCGAAAAATTCCTTAAAAAGAATCTCTATTCATTAAGTTTTACGATTTTTTTACGTAGTCTTGTGAATCTAAGTTTCAAATTATGTTCCCCTCCTCATAAAATTGGATCGAGTATTAACATGTCAATTGATATCTTTCAGGTAGTGGCGTTGAAAAATTATATTCCATTATTGGTCGAAATCAGAAGCCTCGTAAATTGGGATGGTAATTATTTTTTTTTTTCCCTACCTAATCTTTGATAGCCTAAAAGCTATTTCAACTATGTTTTTTATTGCCTTTGTAGGCGAGGATGAGGATACGGTCCACCTGATGATGAGTGATTACTGTCGCCCATGGACTTCAGCAATTCCAGGGGCAGAGCCGAGCCGCTGCCTACCGTTGAGTACTCTCCACAAGCCTCTCGTCTGTAGGTGAGCTCACGAGCTCAACCTAAGAGAATTTGATAACACTAGTCCTAGCAAGAGCAGTGCTTCCCTAAATCTACCCCGGATCTGGCGAGAGATTCTGTGGGTTGTTATGTGTGGTAATATACCTTTTGTAAAAGTTTGAACATCGAGAAATTTCTCCTTACTGGTGGTAGGACCTCTTGTGAGTCCGCACGGGTAAGTACCACCACCCTATTTCTACCGTGAAGCAGTAATGCGTTTCGGTTTGAAGGGCGGGGCAGCTGTTGTACTGTAAGCACTGAGACCTTACAACTCATATCTCAAGGCTCCGGTAACCACTTAACACCAGGTGGGCTGGGAGCTCGTTCATCCATCTATGCAATAAAAAAATACCACACGCAGTCAAGAATAGAGTCCTCATCTATTCTCGTAAAATAGTCCGAGAGAATGTTACTCAGAGAAGCCACGACCCTCAGCATTGAGGGTTATCGATGTGAGGAGGAGAAGACCATGAATTTAATGTCTTCTTTCTTTGGCAGGTTAAACACAAGAGTGACGTCAAAGGAGGCTGGGTAATTTTATTGCGTTCTTATGAAACTTTATAGGGTGTAGTTGTTGATTTTGTCACCACGGCCTAAAGGATAAGAGGCCCAGTGCATTCGTATCGAGCGACGCGACTGTGGTGGTAATATATCGATGGTGATGGGGTTCAAATCTCGAAGGCGGCTACCAATGTTTCTAATGAAATACGTACTTAAGAAATGTTCACGATTGACTTCCGCGGCGGAGGAACAACGTCGGATAATATAAATCAAACCCGCAAAATTATAATTTGCGTAATTATGTTTTCTGAGTCCCTTAATATTAAGATGTCTTCTGAGTCCGCGGGGGTAGGTACCACTGCCCTGCCTATTTCTGCCGCAAATCAGTAATGCAATTTGAAGGGTGGAACAGCCGTAGCCGTTTGGAGAGTCGTTGTCTGTGAGGTGGAAAATCTTCCATCTAACGAGTGTTTTTGTTGATGTTCTTGGTTTTTGCAGCTGCAGACACATATGCAATTCCCATAGTTACCGCTTCATGAGGTCTCAAGTGATGAGAATGGCCGGTCCCACTGACAGCAGGTTCGTTATGACAAAGATACGACTTGTTAGGTCTTCTTTGGAGACGCTCGGGCAGCTGCTAACTGATCCCAGCCCTCCTGGCTGAGCCTTTACTCGCCTATCTGTCCTGGTGAAAAAGGAAAGGCCTCCGGGCCACCAGTAATCCAATCATTAAAAATATATAGGTACATATGTCGGAGAAATCACAATTATTAACACCATCGTCAGACATCGTAGGGGCGAATAGGGTGATCGAGCTAAGAGGAATATTGAGTACACTACACGCGCCTCCATCGGCTAGGCTCTGTTGTAGCACGAAGTTAGCCGAGTTTCGACGATACCGCGATCGTGCTGCGTTTCGCTTAGGTACCAAACTAATGACCGTCTCTGACGTATATATGTATACATAGATTTTTTTCGTATTAGGCAATAATCACAAAAGCACACAATAATTACAAACACTCCAAATATAAAACACATATTATTTTGTACTAAGTTATTTCTTTTGTTGTGTCATTGACAAATTATGTCGAACTATGTAATGAATAAATGAATAAATAAAATAAATAAAAAATAAAAAATAAAAAAGCCTGTATTTCCTTATCCTGCACTTCTTTCATTTGAAATGTGGTATTTATTTGTTAGTGTTTAGTTAGTTATTAATGCTTATTGTCTAAATGTTAGTACGAGTTAATTTTTGTTATTGGATATGGACCCCTCATCTCGGGTGAAGGCCTCCTCCAGTCCTTTCCACTGATCTCTGTCCTTGCCGATCGTTTNGTATGTCGCATTTTATATCTTTCAATGCATTATTGAGTTCTAAGTATCGGTGTATTGATGACAGAGACCTGACATTATAAGTTCCAATTTTTATACAATTCTTAAAGTCTTTGTTCAGTTTAGTGGTTTTTTGTTTTTGTGGTTTTCCTGGAGGGTTGTGGTCGTACTCTTCCACGGGGACCAGCCGGCTTGGAAGATGAATAAATGAATACCCAATATTATTATATTGGTCCATCAATCGTCAATTACTTTAAACTAAATGCATTACTAAAAATTTTTGCGTGTAATTTAGAAAAGCCATTTAAAATGTTAAAAAATAAAAACACATTTTAAAACTCTTGTGTTCACGTGGTTGTTCTCCGCAGGCTGGCAACATTCAGAGCTACGGTCAAGAAGATAGCGGTGCCATCTATTGTCAGGAACATTATAACATTGGGTTTGTTTTTTATATATTGTTTTTTTAAGGGCTCGCTACGAAACGCCTATGGAGGGTAGAAGTAAGGAGAACCATATTGTATAGGAGACAATTTGGTAAAGTGTATGTCTGTAAACAGCAAGTTGTTGGAAGACTCACCGACATAGAGCTAGTGTAGGAGGTGGAAATTATATAAATACTAGCTGACCCGGCAGACTTCGTAGTGCCTCAATCGATAAATAAAAGACACATCGAGGGGACACATCACAGGAAAAAGAAAATTGTTTGTTTTTTATATAATTCCGAGCTTTTTTATATTTTCTCACCTTTTAAACCTTCCCTGGACTTCCACGAATAATTCAAGACCAAAATTAGCCAAATCGGTACAGCCGTTCTCGAGTTTTAGCGAGATTAACGAACAGCAATTCATTTTTATATATAGAGATAGATAGATAGATAGAAGATAGCAGTTTTCAGCTTTACTTCAGTAAAGGCTATGTTCCGATTTGCACTACAAGTACTGTAACACGGTTACATTATTGTTCATACATTTTTGTTCTATTATTAGGCGCAAGAACAAACAACGCAGATGGTCTTTCGACCCTTGAACATGCCACATAAAAGCATTTTATATATTCTAACGGTTAAAAACTTTCGTTCTACCTACGATTTCAAACAGTATTTATTAGCTAACTATAAAGAAACGACTTCGCAGTACACTAAATTGGCGTCACATGTTACTTTTTTTTCCTGCCCATGCTGAAAGCCCTGAGAGGTTATTTCAGCTTCTCCTAGACGTGTAGGTGAGCTCACGGGGCTCAAACCTGACGTCATTGCTAACACTAACCCTAGCAGGAGCAGTGCTTCGCAGAATCTACCACTAGATCAGAAACTTGACCCACTGAGAAGATCCGGCGAGAACGATCCGGCAAGAAACTTAGTGGGCTGTGTCTGTGGGCTAATTTACTCGCCGAGCCCTTTGTCGCAAGCGACGGGTTCGACGAGAACGGTGACCAGCGCGGCGGCGCTTGGGGTGCCTAATAGCACTCGTTAGTGGATCGGGAGGATCCGAAATGACGTGCCAAAGCCTTTCACCCCTCGATATACCAACTACATAAATGTCCTTGTTCGCTATAGACTCTGAAACTGCCGAAGCGATATCGATAAAATTTTGGGTTAAATTTTTTCGTAGCGACCAATATTTTAATCTTAAATATCAATTTGAATCTTAAAACAGCTTACGTAATTACAGACAGAAAAGAACCCGCCGCCATCTTGCCGACGCGCGATTGCGGAAATGACACGGAAAAGATTTGAGAAATAAAATAAACATAAACTTAAAAGAGAAAATGGCTTGATTTTTATTTGTATTTCGTTTCACAAAAGTGTTACAGTTAAGTTAATGACTAATTTACAAAGGAACACTCACTATTTGTATACCTACTCAATACTCGTATGTACAATGTCACTTTTGTTGTAATGGATTCGCGTGCTGTGTTTTGTAATGGCGCCGTGCTCTCATTGAAATGGTCCTATCGAATCCGCAAACGGATACCAGAAGAGCAAAATTCAGGTAACTATTACATTATAGGAACTTTTTTATACTTAAACGACATTTTAATGCTACTATTAAGGCTAATATTAGTAGTGATTCAGATGTGGCATTGTATAAGCATGGGTATTTTCTAACTATTTCTATCAATTTTTCGGGCATTATTTATTATTTTAATACATATTACCTCGGACGCTAAAATAAAATTTGTGAAAAATGACAACGCCTGACGTCAAAGCGTCCTAACGCCGCGACAGAGCGCTGCGTACTTATAGCGCTGGGGCTCTGTTTGACGGTATGTTACCATAGTAGTACAAAACATCTCGGCGTCATAGCGCGGCGTCAGTTTAGCGCTCTGACGCGCGCTAAGTACGCGTTCTGTTTGACGAAGGTTTAAATGCGTGCTGTCCATGATCAACTCGTGCAAAAGTTACGGTAGACCGAAATTTGTAAAGTTTGCACGCCATTTAAGATATTACGTTATTGTGTTATTAGTTCTAATCGTCTAAATATATCCATGAACAGAAATGAATGTCAGTTAAGCGTTACTTAATCTTTCGTTTGATAATTATAATCAAATTTAATGTTGCTGTTTACATAATGTTCTATAAGTGTATTTTTAGACATGAGACATGATAAAAAATTATCTAACTAATTAATATTGTAATTTAAATATTTCATTACTAAATTTGCTAATCTTTGGCGGTTTTTAAAGGGTTTTTATGACCTGGTAACTAAGACCTTTAGGTCATGTCTTATTTTAATTTATATTCTTATTTTTATGAAAAATGATAATATGGAGGGAAATGAAATGAAATGAAGATAATTCATTTGAGACATTAATCAACTGAGATGAAATTAAATGAAATGATATGGGATGAAATATAATCTCAGTAAAAGGTGGTCATTTACTGAGATTTTTTCAGTGGACTTTTGGAGGATGCCGAGAAGTTACGTTCAGCGGCTTTGTTTAATTTTCCCACATTTGTGCACTTTCACAGATACTAAACAGTTAATAAACCACCGTTATTACACATTTAAACCTGAAGAAACACACGTCACTCCTCGGGTTCCCGCCAAAAAGTCCCCCTGGCGCGTTTTTCGAGTCTACCACAGATTAAGTCAATGTGTGCCAGCGAAGTTTTTTTAAAAGATTCTATGTTCTGGTAACGAGGTTTTTAAGCCAAATCTGATATGTTCTTTTATTCTGTTAAAATATGAAAAATGATATGAAGCGAAACGAGATAAAGTTGTTTTATGTGAGGTATTTAATAGATTAGGATCAAAATTAAATAAAACGAGATGAGATGTGGAGAAATGGTCTCAGGTAAATTGTGGCTATTTAAGGAGACTTTTTCAGTGGGCTCTTTGGAAGAACTCTAAGAAGCTACGTCCGGCGATTTTGTTTAATTTTCCCAAACGGTCTATCAGATGATAAGTTGTTAGTGTCGGTAGATGAGGGTCGGAGTTCCAATTGTGTCACGGCTATCCCACCCTTCCATCCCGGAATGCTTGAGTGCGGCGTAAATATAAGCCCTTTAGGCTTCAGGAGGTATCCCTGTGCCATCCACGTGATGCATCAGAGTGGATACGATTCCTCGTCGTCATCCTTGTAAATGGTCTTCGAACGGCAGCGTGCAAAGAACCCTCTCTTCCACAGCAAGACTACTATTAGAACTATAGGGAATGTTACGAATATACCTGTAAAATAAAAACAAGAAAGGTAAATCAAAAGTCGTGAAGTCAGCGCCGTGTACGCAGTTACCATAGATTATATATACTCTGTAGCGACTCTGAGGCGCTAATACTGACACACGTACCGTCTCTTTCTTTTTTCCCTAAAAATTTAATTTAAATGATATTATAGTGATATCGTTTCTTTAGGGTTACGTGATTATGTCAGAGTCCTAATAGATTCCACTACAGTATTCTGTCAGTGAGTGAATCCGCTAACTACCGCACCACCGAGCTAGTCAAGTCGTATTATCATCATCAGCCTGTATCTCTCTACTGCTGGATATAGTCCGCCACAATGAACGATCCTTCGCCTTCCGCATACAATCTTTCCCAGCATATCGCCACAAGTCATCGGTCCACCGGGTAGGGGGACGCCCAACGCTTACCGGTACGTGGTCTCCAGTCCAGAACACGTCTTCTACATGGGCAATGTGGTCAAACATTATATTTTAATGAAAACTCGAAACTTACCAATCATGATTCCAAGTAGAATAGCCATGTCCGGCCCAGGGGATGCCTTGAGGCTCTCGTTTTCAAGGCAAGAGAGCTTCTTCGATGTCTCAAACAACTGGACCAGTGTTAGACCTCTGGTTTCGTAAGGCATTTTACAGCTGCAATTTAAAGCAATTTTTATTTATTACTTATTACTTTAGAGAAGGCCACGACCCTCAGTACCGAGGACTATCGACGTAAGGAGGACTTATTACTATTTCTGCCGTGAAGCAGTAATGCGTTTTGGTTTAAAGGGTGGGGCAGCCGTTGTAACTATACTGATAACCTTAATGCCTTAGAACTCATATCTCAAGGTGGGTGGCGCATTTACGTTGTAGATTCTATGGACTCCAGTAACCACTTAACATCAGGTGGGCCGTGAGCTCATCCACCCATCTAAGCAATAAAAAATAATAAAAAAAATATTTAGATGGATGGACGAGCTCACTGTTCACCTGGTGTTAAACGTTTACCAGAGCCCATAGACATATACGACGTAAATACCGCCACACACACCTTGAGACATGAGTCCTAAGGTCTCAGTGCTTACAGTACAACGGCCACCCCGCCCTTCAAACCGAAACGCATTACTGCTTCACGCCAGAAATAAGCAGGGCGGTGGTACCTACCCGTGCGGACTCACAAGAGGTCCTACCACCAGTAATTACGCAAATTATATTTTTGCGGGTTTGATTTTTATTACACGATGTTATTCCTTCACCGTGGAAGTCAATCGGAACATGAAGTACGTATTAGGTACGTTAGAAAAATTGGTACCCGCCTGCGGGATTCGAACACCGGTGCATCGCTCAACACGAATGCATCGGACGTCTTATCCTTTAGGCCACGACGACTTCAGCCTTTTTTCCGTTCCTTTTCGCTGGTAGCCTAAGAGGGCACTCCAGATACGCGCGGGTAGGTGAGCTCACGGGCTCAACCTGAAAGAATTTACTAACACTAACCCTAGCAAGAGCAGTGCTTCGCTGAATCTACCACCGGATCGGAATCGCGACCCACTGAGCAGATCAGACAATAAACTCAGTGAGTTGTGTCTATAGATTAGGATAACTTTAAATACACAATACAAGAACTGGAGGTATATACTCACATCATATGACTGGCAGTCTCGTTATGGGAACTTTTGAGAATAATTGGTATGAGCACGTCAATAGTCCATTGACTCCGGCAGTCGCAGATATAGGGGTTGTTGCCGAAGTCTAAGGTGTTCAGTCGGTCCCAGCGGGCTAGGTAATTCGAGTGGATTGTCGACAGATTATTGTTGTTGAGACGCAGCTGAAATCGAACAATAAAAGCTAAAAAACAGTTCGGCCGCGATAACGAAAACTGTGAAGTAATTTGTTTTTCCTACCTAAGCCGATAGCCTTGAGAGACTATTTCAGCGTAACCTTAACTAGTAGGTGAGCTTACGGGGCTCAATCCTGACGACGTTGCTAACACGAACTCTACCAAGAGCCGTGCTTCGCAGAATCTACCACCGGATCAGAAATGCGACCCACTGAGAAGATCCGGCGATAAACTCAGTGGGCTGTGTCTGAGGGTTAATTTACTCGTCGAGCCCTTCGTCGCAAGCGACGGGTTTGACGAGAACGATGACCGGTGCTCGAGGTACCTTAAAGCACCGTTAGTGGATCGGGAGGATCCGAAATGACGTGTTTTGGGCGACGTCGACTGCTTTCCATTCTGTCCGCAGGATCGGGAATGCCGTGAAGTAGGACGCCGAACGTCGCAGATAATGTACTGACAATAATAGAAACGAATCGAAAGCGTGCCACCTATTGGATGCGAGTCGCAACTACTCGTCAAACATCAGCTCACTTCGGCGTGATTCGGCAAAGTCGAGGTGTCATCGGTCGGGTTGAATCGAAGCTCATTCGTTGCCTGACTTAGGAAGAGTGAACACGTCTCGGAACTGTCATCGTGTCGTGCTGCGCAATCTCTTTGCACGACTACCCACCATACGCCCACTATATCAAGAAATAATGAAGATTCTTTCATTCATTCTGCGACATATATCATTAATAAATTATTGTTTAGCATACACTAAACCTACGCGTGGGTCAAAATTTGCTGGGTCATTGTACCTATATGTAATTAAAATGCAATTATGTGTGTCGTTAACCTTGAGACAGGAGTTCTAAGGTCTCCGTTTTTTCATTACAACGGCTGCTCGACCCTTCAAACCGAAACGCGTTACTGCTTTACGGCAGAAATAGGAACCCGCGCGGGTTCACAATAGGTCCTACCACAAGCATAAGCCACATAGTACTAGCCGCGACTGACCTCTCTCAAAGTCGGCCACATTTCTACTTCATCCTCCGTCCACGTCAAGAATTCAGGATCCAAATCGGTGAGACGTGGATTCGAGCACAAGTGTAATGTTTCCAGACTCTTGAGACCTCCGAGAGCGCGGGCAGACACTGAGCGCAGCTTACTCATGCGACATAGGCGGAGCTCTCGCAGCCTAATCAGATTTGGAAATACCCTGAAACATAGAAAATATTGTTACGCCGGTAAGAGTAACGCCATCTATCGCCGAATAGTCGAACGAATATCGAAGGATCTAGTCGCATCTAGAACGTTCGAGAAGTACAACGCCATCTATTGTCAGATAGCGGAAACAGATAATACTTAAACTTTTGTGGAATATTCTCGATAATTCTAAGGATGTAGTATCGGCTATAAAAGCATTGCAAAGATGGCACGCAGTTAGTTAGTAATCGGAAATACTCGAACCGAAACACCGAACGGATCACCTGAAGCGAAGCGGAAAAATCGAACTGAGAATTTTAAAGTGTTTGTGAAGTGTTTTAAGTGTTCTAAGTGCTAATACAGTGTTAACTTAAGTGTATAATCAATCTATGGTGTTAACTTGTAATTCGGTAGAATTTTATTTATCCCGAACCCCAGCACGTAACAATAATGAGTACAATGAAGTTCAAAAGTGCGTCTGTACGAGTTCTTTGTAATTCACTTAATGAGATTACATCTTATTATTATATTAAGAGTGGAGGGTACTTTTACCCTGACGCTGCTAAGAACGAGCTTATTCTAACGTTTATTGTATACAGCATATGGTGACTATCTAAAGTTTAGCAATTACTTACCACATGCCTATATAGAGTGCTCCAGTATTTAGGTCATATAGCAAGAAAACCCTACGAAAACCTGGAGAGACTCTTAGTGACGTGGTAGGAAGACAATCCAGAGGTCGGAGCCAAAAAAGATGAAGTGATCAATCTATACTAATATTATAAAGAGGAAAGATTTGTTTGTTTGTTTGTTTCGAATAGGCTCCGACACTACTGGACCGATTTGAAAAATTCTTTTTCCATTAGAAGCCGACATTGTCCCTGATGAACATAGGCTACTTTTTTTAATTTTTTTATTTTTTTTTTATTTATTTTTTTTTGGTTTCATCTGTGTTTTAATGTTTCCGAAACGAAGCGAGGGGGGTCGCTAGTTCACATATATATTAACAACTCTTGTCTGTTTTTCTCGCTTTCTCATCTGATTTTTTAGTGAAATACTTCCAAAATTATGTCTCTAGCTCATAAAGAAGTTAGTTTCATCTAAATTGCATAATCTCACCCGGATTTATTAATCGGACGGCTTATAGAAGAGGTAACTTAAATTAATCTAAGTTGAACTGTATAATTTAATAATGAAATTGTTTAACCTGAGAAAAGCTTAGGTCATTAATTATATTTTATGTATATTAAATTGAATATTTATGATGATGTAAAGAAAATTGTAACATAAATTGAAAAAGTTTTTTTTATTTTTTTTTTATTGCTTGGATGGGTGGACGAGCTCACAGCCCACCTGGTGTTAAGTGGTTACTGGAGCCCATAGACATCCACAACGTAAATGCGCCACCCACCTTGAGATATAAGTTCTAAGGTCTCAAGTATAGTAACGACGGCTGCCCCACCCTTCAAACCGAAACGCATTACTGCTTCACGGCAGAAATACGCAGGGTGGTGGTACCTGTGGCGCGGACACACAAGAGGTCCTACCACCAGTAAAATATAACTCCTAACTGTATAAATAGTTAGGAGTTACATACGTTCTCGGTACCGCTGCCGTATGCGTGAGAGAAAGAGACGACAAATAGACTGAGGCCGTAACGCGTTACGTAACGAAGCGGTTTAACCTCCGATAAGAAGCTATCACTTCAAAAAACATTCATTTAAAACGTGCTAAGTGGTAAATGCTGATTAGAAATAGACTCACGAGGTATCGTTCAGCGCTCCAACAGGATTCCTGCCAAAGTTCAGATACTTCAGAGTGACTGCTTCTGCCAGTACGGTAGGAACGGTGGTAAACCTGTTATTGCTCAGATCCAGCTTCACGAGACGACGCTGCCTTCTAAAGAAACCTTCCGGAAGACTTTCTAATTCACAGCCCCGAAGGTAGAGTTCCTAATGGGATAATAGTTTTATTGTATACTAACTGTTTAACTGACTCGGTGGTGGAGAGTTCCTGATTACAAAGTCGAGGGTCGTGAGTTCGATTCCCACATCGGACAAACATTCGTGTTTGTTTGTTCTATAGGTTAGTTAGCTCGTCGAAATATTTGTCTTAATCGACGAGTTCGACGAGGGGGGTAACCGGTTCTAGAAGAGCCTAAAAGCACCAAGAGTCGATCCAGGAATCCGACGGCTGCCTTGAGTTGCCCCGTTGCCTGGATCGGATTTTTCTTCTTAGTCGAATACTTCATTGCTGAAGGTCGTGTCGTTGAAAGCCCTTCGTGGCTCTTTGTACCCTCAACTTCCATTTGCTTCGGTTTTCGGCTTCTCTCAGGGCGTTCGCAACAGAGAGTCCAGTGAGCGCAGTTATCTGATCCGACGGTATGGTGGCAGGCCTGGATCGGATAGGTCATGAAAATCGATGATAGCTCCAATTGTTACTACTAATATACGTCGCCCGAGCAGGCTTGTTACCTTGTGGCGGGTAGCCATCGTACAACACAAGATGTTTGCGAGATGCCTGAATCTCGCTTACGGCATTTCCAAGATAAGCTTTCATCTAAACAAGTTCCGAACAAAAACATTCGGACCGTCGGTCTACCGAGCAATATCACCCGCTCGGTAGAAGATCTTCCCTTTGTCGTATACCTCCAAAACCTTAACCACCATTTTTAAATAGTTTTTATTTGATATCTGTAGAAGCTACCCGCTATTGTGGTAGCTAATTACAGCCACGATTTTATTAGCCGTGGCCAGTGTTCTATGGCTTAGCGACGGCAGTTCTGGACGCGATCCGTGCATAAAACTATAAAACTGAACATTTTAGCAGTTCTGCGAATATTTCAGTGGGCGGTTCTGAAACTCTAATCAAAACTAAAGTATACTAAACTTGCAGTACAGTACGGTACCTGCAGGTCGTCCAAATCGGTGATAGCTCCCATTGTTACTTGATCGATATACGCCATAGGATTATCACTTAAATCAAGGGTTGTCAGTTCATTCATAAACAGGAACACGTCTTGTGGAAGCGAATGGATTTCGTTGTTGGCCAAACTTAAATACCGGAGTTTTGAGAAAGGTAGAAGACCTAGGATCGGATCTATAATACCCTGGAATGTAAGAAATTCATTGAGATATCAAGGACAAGGACACACAAGAATAAGGCACAGAATATCCCGTGAACTTCGCTCGAGGATGGAGACTGTGTGTTAGTCACCGACCTTTTTCAAAGATGAGCATTTTGTGGGTAGTTTTGTCTCGTATTTTATGATAATTCACTAATAGTAGTACTATAAATGCCAATTACGGTTACGTTACTGGTAGTAGGACGTCTTGTGAGTTCATACGGGTAGGTACCACCACCCTGCCTATTTTTACCGTGAAGCAGTAATTCGTTTCGGTTTGAAGGGTGGGGCAGCCGTTGTAACTATACTTGAGACCTTACAACTTATATCTCAAGGTGGGTGGCGCATTTACATTGTAGATGTCTATGAACTCCAGTAACCACTTAACACCAGGTCGGCTGCTAGCTCGTCCACCCATCTAAGCAATAAAAAAAAGGTAGTGAAATGAATCAACAACAATAATAATTAAACTCACCACAAACACCCTTTTGTTGATTGAGGAACTTAACAATTGATTCCTGCTTAAATCCAAACTAACTAAATCCTGTAGATAACTGAAGGTCGCATGTTCGATGCCTAGCAGTTCGCAGTTCGACACATTCAAGTATTTCAAGGTATCCAATTTTGAGATTCTCGTTAACGTACCTATGTGATTATTGCTAAGGTCAACATTAACTGGTTTGAATTCTTGCAGACCTGAAATCGTTTGTTTGTTAAAGTTTCCAAAGCTGGTGATTATTCTTTCGCAGCATGTGAGCCTCCTTCTGATTTAAGAGTACTATTCTGCACAGAAGATCCACATGAAATTGCCCTTAACCAAAATCCGTGGCAAGGATCACACGCGATTTTTTTTCCTACCTATTCTGGTAACCTCGTGGGGTTGTACTAGATTCGCCAAGCGAGTTAGTGGGCTCATGGGGCTCTAACCTGGTGACGTTGCTAACACTAGGCCTAGCAAGAGCTGTGCTTCGCAGAATCTACCACCGGATCGGAAACGCGACCCACTGAGAAGATCCGGTGAAAAAACTCAATGGGCTGTGTCTGTGATTAATTTACTCGCCGAGCCCTTCGTCGCAAGCGACGAGTTTGACGACTACGGTGACCGGCGCTTGAGGTACTTAAAAGCACCGTTAGTTATTTGGGAGGATTCGAAATGACGTGCTTAGGGCGACGTCGACTATTTACCATTCGGTCCACAGGATCGGGTCCTCGGGTATGATCAAATTTAACGCCCTTTAAATCAACTTAGTCAAAAGCCTTTTGCTAAGCTCGTTGGGTTACAGCAGACTGACGCGATGTACTCTTAAGTATTTACTCACCCTCCCAGTCAGTCATCTCGAAGGAGGTACGGATTTCCTTGCCACTGCAATCCACAACACTGTCGCTGCAGTTGCATACCGCGCAAATAACTTCAGAAACGGGTTCAGAGTCAACCATTTCCGCGACTTCTGTAGTTCCTACTGCCGAAGTTCCTTCGCTGGCTTCTTCTTGCTTTAACACCGCAACTTCTGTGGTAGTTTCTCCATTGCTTTCGAAATCGGCTAATGCACTGACTGTAACTGGTGGAATGATTTCTGTAACCGCTCCTGTCTGCTCAATAGCTTGTAATTCTGCTGCTTGACTAATTTCTGAAAAAATTGTTCATTTATAATTTTTGTGCTTCTGAAGGTACATTTTTTTTATTGCTCTTGTAGGCAGACGAGCATACGGCTCACCTGATGGTGAGTAGTTACTATCGCCCATAGACTTCAGCAAAGTCAGGAGCAGACCCGAGCTGCTACTTACCGTTAAGTATTCTCCACAAGTCTCGTTTGAAGAAGGACATGTCATAAAGCTAGGGAAATACCGTGGGGGGAGCTCATTCCTAAGCCGGATGGTACGTGGCAAAAAAGATCTCTGGAAACGCACTGTGGATGAACGCAGTGGCTCCAGGTAGTATGGATGTCCTCTACTACGGTGACGGGCGGTGCGATGATAAAAATGAGATGATGGAATCATCTCAATCAATACATATATTAAGTACATAAAGATTTGAATACACAGTAAATATCACCTCAGTTAACGCAATAACGGCTATTTAAGAAATACACTTACGTTTTTGTGTTCTCGTTAATAAGAATAAAATAATAAACATATATTTACAGTAAAACATTCTTACGTGAACTCAAATTGATAACTGATGGGGATACACGAATAAGTTTGATAGGGAATATCTTAAGATAAATATTGCTTGTTCATAGATTATGTGAGTGCAGAATCGAAAGGTTATCTTTGTAAAAACATATAAGTGTACAGGCAGCCTTGACGCCTTACCGTAGACATGACATGTATATCAATCAGCACCCACTTTCGAAGTTCAAGCTTATTGGTGGTTGGACGTCTTGTGAGTCCGCAGGGGTAGGTACCACCACCCTGCTTATTTCTCATGCAAGGTCGGATCCAGCTTTGGCGCCAGGAGGGGGTCACATAGTCGTGGGCAAGTTAAGAACTTATAATATAATTTTGATAACAATAGATAATAAATAAATCATGATGTTCTTCAATTAGTCCAAGTTAGTTCAAGTCCTGGAACTAGCTCAGGGGGGGTCATGACCCCCATGACCCCCCCCCCCATGGATCCGCCGTTGTTCTCATGTGAAGCAGTGATGCGTTTCGGTTTGAAGGGTGTAGCAAATTTTGTAGGTACTATACCGAGAGACCTTAGAACTCATATCTAAAAGTGTGTGGCGGCGTTTACGTTGTAGACGTCTGTGCTCCGGTAACCACTCAAGACCAGGTGGACCGTGAGCTCATCTACCCATCTAAGCAATAAAAAAAAGTTGCATTTTATAACGGCTGTCTCAATTTTCAAACTGGAGTGGAGGGACATAGGCAGATTGGTGGAACTTTAGCTCCTTCTGGGCTGGTTATAAGTAAAATTGGTTTTGATCTTATTGGATAAAAACCAGACCCAAGGTGAAGACTATCGTACACTAGCAAGACCAAGACTGTCCAAATTTTAGTTTTGGTAATGCTTTGCGCATCACTATTTACAGTACTATTTCGGTTCTCTCTATTTCGTGTACCGCACTGATCCTTGGTCGTTTTCTGGGGATTTTTGCGATGGTTTCCTCATATCGTTTTTGCTTCAGTGATTGACGGCCGCTGTGGCGTTTTCTTCTTCGGGTTTACGGAGAGCACTCATTGGCACACAGCTGCCTGACCATTTTTTTTATTGCTTAGATGGGTTGACGAGCTCACAACCCACCTGGTGTTAAGTGGTTACTGGAGCCCATAGACATCCACAACGTAAATGCGTCACCCACCTTGAGATATAAGTTCTAAGGTCTCAAGTATAATTACAACGGCTGCTCCTGTCATTCAGGCCGTACGATCTTTTTTTATTTTTTTATTGCTTAGGTGGTCGGACGAGGTCACGGCCCACCTGATGTAAATTGGTAATCGGAGCCCATAGACATCTACAACGTAAATGCCGCCACCTATCTTGAGATAATAGTTCTAAGGCCTCAGTTTTTACAGTGCAACGGCTGCCCCAACCTTCAAACCGAAACGTATTACTGCTTCACGGCAGAAATAGGCAGGGCGGTGGTACCTACCCACGCGGACTCACAAAACGTCCTAGTAAAATCCTAGTAAGTAAAAAATCCATACAGTTCGTTATGGCTGATCTACGAATTTCACAATCTTTGGTCCGTTGAAAAGATAAGAATTAAAATAGGATTTCGGATAACGGATTTTGGGTTCGTATATTATAAATACGTTAGCAAAATTACAATCTGAACAGGGACGACGCGTTAAATTTGATTTGTAATAAGGTTTAATTTAGTGTAGATTTTCATCGGCAGCACTGAGTGGTTTCTTTATACCTTATATGGCATACAGCTGATCAGTGAGTTATTTTTTTTTTATTGCTTAGATGGGTGGACGAGCTCACGGCACACCTGGCGTTAGTGGTTACTGGAGCCCATAGACATCTACAACGTAAATGCACCACCCACCTTGAGATATAAGTTCTAAGGTCTCAATTATAGTTACATTAAAGGTAGCTTAAATTATTTGGAAAGCTTCAAAATATTCGCATGCCGAACTTCGCCATAATCGCTTCAGCGGTTTGAGCGAGAATACGCAACGGACAAAGTTACTTTAGCGTTGATAATATTAACATGGTTTGATCGATCGTATTGTGCAACATTGATAAATATTGATTGTAGCACGTGTGGCTATAGATATCAGGAGACGGGATATCTGACAAATGCCTCAATACCTTCTAGCTGCCGCGCTTGGGACTGCCGCTGACACGTTGAGAGGAATTGTGCAGCTGGTCATTAGAGAACAGTGAGAATGTACTTCAGAAAATGAAGATGCCGAGTCAAAAGAAACCTGGATCACGTTAAGGATATTCTCAAGATAAGTTTGAATCAATACAAGTTCGTAACGATAACATCAGTGTGCGTAGTACGAGTTTTTAACGTTTTCGATAGCGTAAAAGTGAACTCAAATTTGTATGCAGTTGAAACAGCGCCCCTAGCGGCAAACGTAGGCAAACGTTCCAACTCCATACAAATTTGAGTTAACTTTTACGCTATCGAGAACGTTAAAAAACTCGCACTAAGCACACAAAGCCGTCGGTCTCTCGAGCCGGTTAACTAACGTCTATGGGTTTGGAAGCATTGAAATTGGTCAGATGTGAGGTCGGTCACTGGTCTAGAGAAATAAGCACAGCAAAGACTCCATTACCTCACGAGGATGGCAGAACCCACGTCTGTTGGATCTAGTGATAGCTGGTAGACAGCTGCCGTTAAGGTTGCTTCAATAACTGCTTCTAATTACATAAACGACCCAGACGAAAAAGCAACTCAAAGCCGCCGTCGTCCTAAAAATGTCTTAGCGGATACTTTTTTTTATACACTTACGGATACCCGGTCGAGGGGGGTAACGGCCGGGCTATATCAGACTCCGGCGCCTCCTGAGAAAACGGGGGAGAAGAGAAGGACCGAGGTCCTCCACCTCCCCCAGTTTCTCAGAGAAGACTACGCCTTGAAAAAGGCGCGTGAGGTACTTGCCCCGCAGAACCGGTCACCGTTCTCGGCGAATACGACAAAGAGTTGCAACATGAGACCTAGCCTATAGACACAGTCCACTGAGTTTCTCGCCGGATATTTTTCGGTTCAGGTAGATTCAGGGAAGCACCGCTCTTGCTAAGGCCAATCCTGCCAGGTTGAGCCGTGAGCTCACCTATCAGTCCGCGCGTAGCAGTAATAGCCTCTTAAGCTACCAGCAAAAAACTATAATTTTTCGTGGTTTCTTAAACAACTCTGGTGAAGAAGTCGTCATTTTGAGATTTTGATTCCACAAGCATATTGATTCTAGAACCGACGTCGTGTAATAAAAATCAAACCCGCTAAATTATAATTTGCGTAATTAGTGATCGTAGGACCTCTTGTGAGTCCGCACGGGTAGATACCACCACCCTGCCTATTTCTGCCGTGAGGCAGTAATGCTTTTCGGCTTGAAGGGTGGGGCAGCCTTTGTAACTATACTGAGACCTTAGAACTTATATCTCAAGGTGTGTGCGCATTTACGTTGTAGATTTCTATGGGCTCCAGTAGCCACTTAACACCAGGTGGGCTGTGAGCTCATCCACACATTTAAGCAATAAAAAAAAACTTAACATAGCAATCTTTCGGCCTATGATGTGATTCATTCAATGTAATCGTTTCACCCTATTATCTAATCTCCTCAACGACAACAAATTATCCAAACACCCAAAAAATTTTATTGAATTGATTTTTCAGATTTTTTTTGTTATCTATCATTCTACTAGGCTATGGGTCTTGGTTTCGTACTGTTGCATAGAACTCAATGAATTTCTTTTCAAAAACAAATTAACGGATTTATTTATTTATTAGAATAATTGAATAGACAAAAATAACTAAACTTTATTAAGGACATTAAAATAATTAAAAAAAAATCACATACACTTACAATCTAATATATGCAATCGAGTTTTTATCTACATAAAATTCTAAAAACAATAATTCAATTTAATTTAGTGAGGAAACTTAGATGATACCTAAAAATTGTGATACGCTGAAAAGCATTGTGTTATTTTTTTTGTTGTTATACCATTTAAACTAATTATAGAAGGTTTGAAGGGTGGGGCAGCCGTTGTAACTATACCGAGATCTTCGATCAACAATCGAAGACTTAGAACTTGTATCTCGAGGTGGGTGGTGCATTTACGTTGTAGATGTCTATGGGCTCCAGTAACCACTTAACATCAGGTGGGCTGTGAGCTCGTCCATCCATCTAAGCAATAAAAAAATAATAAAAAAGTCTATAGGACTGGTATAATGCAACATGTAATTTTAGGAGGAATAAGTAATTCTGTAATTACAACATTATTGACGGGTTTGGGAATTGTCTCGATTTAGTTCAAACATCCTTAATAATCATTGGCCTTGATTTGTGATTTTATAGTTTGTCGCGTCCAGACAGACGCAAAAGATACTCTCGAATTTAATGTGAAGTTCTAAAAGTTATTTTGCTTTGTAGGCGAACAAAAAAACGTTTTTTTATTTAATATTAATAATATAGAGAGGTGAAAAGTCATTTGGTTGTGCGATATTTTTGCAACATTACAGGAGAGCCATTTAAACCTTAAAATTTGAAAAAATATCATAACAAATAATAATAAAATAACATGGACATTTTCAAGTGATTCAAAAAAAACCACGACTTTTACGATCCTTGAAAACGTGAATGCATTTCAAAAACGGTAATTAATACAAAAAAAATACAAAAAAAACCACTTTATTTAATCATTCAAAACGTATCTTAAAACTAGACGGTTAAGAACTAAAATAGATTGTCATCTGCGGGTGCCCGCTTGTAGAACGCTCTGGAAACGTCAACGGGTCCCCGGAGTCCAAGCCAACCGAAGTAGCCTTTGCGCCAGAGAAGCACCAGACCTAGCATTATTGGCACAGCCAATAACACGCCTGAAACAAATTCTATTTATGAGAGGAGCTAGGAGGAGGATAAGTCGTCGTGGCCTAAAGGATAAGTCGTCCGGTGCATCTGTATATAGCGATGCAACGGTGTTCGAGTCCTGCAGGTAGCAATTTTCCTAATGAAATACGTACTTGACACAATTGACTTCTACGGTAAAGGACTATAATCAAGACCCGCAAAATTATAATTTACGTAATTACTGGTGGTAGGACCTCTTGTGAGTCCGCGCGGGTAGGTACCACCGCCCTGCCTATTTCTGCCGTGAAGCAGTAATGCGTTTCGGTTTGAAGCGCTGGGCAGCCATTGTACTGTATAAACTGAGACCTAAGAAGTCATATCTCAAGGTAGGTATTTATGTTGTAGATGTCTATGGGCTCTAGTAACCATTTAACACTGGGTGGGCCGTGGGCAGTTGGGCAAGTACGAGCCCGGCCAGGAGGGATAGCAGTTGCCTGAGCGGCGCCGAAGGAAATCTGACAGCTCTAGGGCTGCTGCTTCGCGGATGCATCTACTAAAGGAACCGTGACATGCTGATCAGATCCGGCGAGAAACTCAGCAGGCTGATGTATGGGTTACGTTCCACATCAAATTCTTAATTGATAGAGCTGCAGGCGTCTAATGACAGTGTTAGGGATTTTAAATATATCTTTTCCTGGTATTTTCTTCGGTTTTTGCGAGCGGCCCAATTACAAAGTGATCACAATTAATCTTGCATTTTGATATTGTCAAATCATTTGCAACGTTTCGAGATCTTTTTTGACTGGCTGCCAGACCTCAAGATACTGTTTAAGTATGTGTGTTAGATTTTTTTTAGTTTTCACCCAATTCAAATGTCGACGAAAAACAACCATAGTCTGATGACTATGGTGATGTGACTATCACTGATGTGAATACAGAAACTGTGAAGTATTCAAAAGGTCCGACTGTGACAGTCAAATTTTTTAATTGTCTAAAGTGTGTCGCGCCGAGAAAAAGTTTGAGAGCCACTGGCATATACTGGACTATAATGCTATCTCACCTATCAACGTTCCGAGTAGTATAGCTCCGTCTCGCTCAGGCCTGTTGCCGTATTTGTCGACGCATCTCATGTGCCTGTGGATCTCGTTCAAATGCTTCAATGTGTAGCCTCTCATTTCGATTGGCTCGTGGCACCTTGTAAAACATTCAACAGTTACAGTTACATATACAGTTACAGATACAGTTACAGATACAGTTACAGATACAGTTGCACGTGTCCGCTATTAATGCGGCAATCTTAATACTATTGTCTGAAGACACCTGATCTAGGGGACAATAGTGTTTTCACGTAACACCACCCAATATAATTTGGTATCTAATATTCTATGCTACTCCTTCATCGGGAAGGTCGTACGTTCAAAAACTTACACCATCAATGATGAATTAGTTTTCTTCTCTTCAATCAAGGGCACAAGGACGTCCACTATCCATTGCGTGGAGCAGTCGCATAGGTAAGGATTGTCGGACACATCTATCTTCTCCAGCAGGTCCCAGCGGGAGAGCAGCCTTGAGTCAATGTCGGAGAGGTTATTCGATTGAAGATACAACTGCAACAATATTTTAATTATGGCTCGTGTCGTCTCGAATTGAGTTCTTGAAGAAATCGATTTTACACTATACTGTGGGTAGTTTTTTTTTTGGGATGTCTACAGCTAGGCTTATATTTTATGGTCTATCTATAGAAAGTATACGAAACAAGGATGGGGAGTATTACACCGAGCCGGTTATATTTCTAAGCAGAACTTTTGACAGCGAGAAAGGATGGTCTTGGTCCCGATGTTAAAAGATTTTGTACCATACATAGGAAGGTACCCAGGTCAAGCTAATAAAGCATCTTTAAAAAATCTCCCTCTTCCTCGTTCAGCCCACAGACATCTACTGCTGGACTTAGGCCTCGTCCAAGCCTTACCACCTCATTCTGGCCAGGCTTTAAAAAATACGTTCCTATAACTTTAATGAACACTGTTAGCGATGCGTATACAAATAGGGGCAGTAGCCACCTTCTTCTTAATTTTCATCTTGTAATGGCACCTCATGATGATTACGAATCTAACAGATAGGAAAGGTCTGGAGTCTGGTAAATTTACCTTTACAACGAAATAAAAAATACAATATATAATGTTTTCTAAGTACGCACTTGCTTGATGAGCGGCCAGTCATAGGTTTCCCCGATATCATCAGGTCTAGCGAGAGCCTTCGGATCGATGAACTCCAAAGATGGATTCAAGCTCATGTGAAGACTCTCAAGAGATTCCAGGCCTGCGAAAACATAAATTCATAAGCAATGTATATTAATAAAGCATTTTATCAGTATGCTGTCGGCAGCTAATTTCCAGACTGGATAAAGCACTTAAGATATCGTTTTCTGTGGTGTATCAAAAACAACTAAATCTGAACACTAAATTTCAAATAATTCCTTGTTGCTAAAAAATCAAAGAAATGGTAATAAAAACGCTTTTAATCTTTTTTAATATACGTGGATGACATTATTATAAGCGCGTTTCGAGCTTAAGCACATACTGCTATTGAAAGATATATTTATTGGTGAAAATGAGAGAAAAGCCAAATCTACTGAATACAGCTGATAGCTATTATCCAAAACCCCTTTAAAGAAATACATGAACTTGAATAACGAATAGCATAGGTACATGCTTAACTGATTTTCTAGATTCCAACCGGTGACCATACAACTTCTCAACAAGCTTATCCGGGTCTACTTCTTCTGTGCTACAATATCAACAACGCCACTTATGAATAGAACATACCAGCAAGTGCCCCTGGACCGATACGACGTAGAGAAGGCATGTTGCACATATGTAGCTCCTTCAGCTTGCGCAGACGGGGGAAGCCACTGGAAGCAGAAATATTTAATCATAGGAATTGACGTTTTAGCATTTCTATTGACGTTCCTAAAAATGCTGTTCAATGCTCAATGTTACTAAAAATGCTGTTCAAGGTGATGGGAAATGAACGCTTCTTGCTAAGCAGATAGACGTGGATACCACTGTCGACCAGGAGAAGCACTTGTACAATGCCTTTGGAGTTTTTTTTTGTATGAAGGTAGAATGACTTTTCAGTATATTTGGTGTTAAATGGTTACTGGAATCCATAGATATTATGATTTCACCATGCATTTTCAGACATGAAGCCAAGGATCAACGGCTGTCCCATCCTTCAAATCGAAGCGCATTACTGCACCGCGGCAGAGGTAGGCAATATAGTGGAACTTCCTCGCACTAAACTATACTAACACTAAAAATATCCTATTAAATAAGAATACTTTGATAAATAACTCACGGGTAATCTTCAGAGGTCATATCTAATTCTCTGATAGGGTTTTGGTTCAGGTTAAGGTATTCCAGGTTCTTGGTTTCTTCCAACTCTTGAGGGACTGCGGTCAGCTGGTTGTCGCTTATGTCTAAGCGACTCAAGTAGAGTGGAGTGTGGAAGAACTTTTCAGGGATTTCAGTCAGTTGGCAAGAACGCATTCTCAACACCTAAAAAAAATTGTGATCAGCGCCATCATTTGTTAAATATATTTCAAGATAAAGATAGATAATTCAAGTCTAACTTCACTATCACTTATTGTAGTTAAATAATTTGATTGTTCAAAGATTTTCATTACACTCGGCACTGAATGTTACATGTGGCTCATTTAAAACTTAATATTAGGTTATTTAATGATTTCCTCGAATAACAGATGTCGCTCACCTTGAGCATTGGCAAACTCGAAATCGCAATCAAAGTAACGTGATCTATCGTGGTCAGGGGATTCCCACTGATATCCAGCTCCTCCAACTGCGGTAAGTGTTCGAACAGATCCTGGTTCAAGGAGTGCAGATCGTTGTACGCTAGATTCAGAACGCGCATCGCTGCTAGAGGCTCGTATTGTTCCGGGGTGTATTTACCCTGGAATTTTTATAAAATTTAATTTGATAATCTTGTTATGTCATTGCCACCTAGATTGATGGGGTAGAAGATACACTGCTCATTTAAGTTTTAGACAGCAGCTTGACTAAGCGCGTTGTTTATGTCCACGGGCGTCTACGCTTACAATAATCGGGTAAAAACGTTCTGAAGCTAGGTCGTTTGCATACGTTTGCCGCTAGGGGCGCTGTTCCATTGCATACAAATTTGAGTTAACTTTTACGCAATCGAGAACGTTAAATAACTCGCACCAAGCACACTTGACAGCCCACCGTGTTTGTGTAAGCGTGTTTGTGTGTTTTGTTTTTGAAATTGACAAGGTATGTCTGTTTATCTTATCTAATCTTGTTATTGAACTCGAATACTCTCGTCCGAGATGTATGAATCACGCTATTCCATTGTATTTGTTAAAACGCTTGAGCTAAGCCGATGCGCTCGCTTAGTTAACAGTTGGTATTATAATAATTAGATATGCGCGGTAGCCGTCATAGAACAAAAAGTATTTTGATAAGTGCTTAAAGCTCAGTAACGACATATTCAAGATAAGCTCGCATATATTATTATACAAGTTCCAAACGACAACATTCTACTGAACAATCTCAGCCACTCGCTGGAAGATCTATGGTATCCATTCATAGCGCCATCTATAAATAAAGGTTTGGAACTAAAAGCTCACCTCAAATGCGTGCGGGCTCAGTTTCGCCGCCGTCAACTTATTGTAGCTTAAGTCGAGAACACGCATCTCCTGTAGCTCCTTGAAGCTGGCGTTTTCTATGACATCGATCTTGCAACGAGACAAGTTCAGTATCTCTATTGACAGATCCGCCATGAGCGTCACATTCCTGAATGAATTCTCGCTCAAATCAACTATTTTTGGCTTGAAGTCCGCGAGCGCTGTGAGGAAGCAGGAACCATTCATTTGATTATAAACTTAACTAGAGTGACATTAAGGATTGGATTGTACTTTCGCAGAAACGTGGACAATGCGCCTTAAAGACCGACGCAAAATCGATGCATTTGAGATTTGGGGCTGGTGGCGTTTATTCCGCAGGTTTTGAATAGCATTTAAGACCAACGTCTCGATCCTCACCGAACCACAATCAGGCATAGATTATCATTGATAGGGCATATAGAAATCCCCACACATTTCAGATAGGTTGTTTGAAATAAGTACTCCATGGAACGACTCGTTGTCTAAGGCCAGGTGAAGGCCAGGCGGTCAGGCGGCCCATTTGCTTTGGACAGACCTCATCAAAACTGACCCCACAGACGTCTTAGGTCTAATTTGAAGAGGGCAACAAGTGGAAGCACATCGGGTTTGGCCCGTTTAGTCGAAATGGAGTGCTATCAACATCGACCACTCTGCCAAAAGTTAACGACTAAGAGAGGAACCCTTTCCTCCTGCTCTACCCATGGACATACTGATATGATGATGCCTTGAGATTATCAAAATTTCAAATGTGCTAAACAATGTCTGCTGCTCCACCATTGAAACTAACTTCAATTTGATGAGTGTGAGAAAGAGATGAATGTATATCTATGATGTCCTATTAAAACAGAATACTCGCTGTGACCGCGTCAAAACATTTTTTTATTGCCCTTTTACGCAGACGACCATACCACCGGATGCTGTGTGGTTATCGTCGCCCATAGACGTCAACAATGCCACGGGCAGAGCTAAACCGCTGCCAACGAATAAGTACTCTCTACAGGCCTCGTTTGAAGAAGGACGTGTCATAGCGCTCGGGAAACACCGTGGAGGGGAGCTCATTCCAAAGCCGGATGGTGCGTGGTAAAAAAGATCCCTGGAAACGCACTGTGGATGAACGCAGTGGCTCCAGGTAGTATGATTAACTCTAATGATTAACTCTCTTACGTGTAGTCTGTTCGTGTAATAATTGGATCATAATAATTCACCTGCCCATTCTTCTTTACTGAAGAACGTGTCCAGATTCTGATCGTAACAATTAACTTTATTGTCTTTGCAAACGCACTGCCTACATATATCGGAAGCCGGGACCTTAGGTGGCCCCGCAGTAACGTTGGCGCTGGCTCCAGGTGTTTTAACTGTAAAATAATCACGACTCGTAAATAATAACACCTAATAACCATAAATGTTTTTTTAACTTACTCGATAGCGTAAAAGTTAGCTCATATTTGTATGGAATTGGATCGTTTGCCTACGTTTGCCGCTAGGGGCGCTGTTCCTACTGCATACAATTTGAGTTAACTTTTACGCTATCGAGAACGTTAAAAAACTCGCACTATGCACACTGAATACTAGTTCGCGACATCTGTTCACGACTTAACCTAAACTAATTTATCCTAAGAAGGAGGATCGAGATCAGTAATACAAGTCTTTGAATCTAGTACAGACTTGAGCTCTTTAAAAAATTAACAAAATAAATTATAAGGTTTAATCTCTATTTCTATTTTAATTATGATTGATTTATATATAAATTTTTTTATTCCTTCTAAGGAAGGCTCACAGCTCACCTGGTGCTAAGTGGTAACTGGAGGCCATAGACATCACAACGTAAACGCGCCACCCACCTTGAGATATAAGTTCTAAGGTCTAAGTACAACGGCTGCCCCACACTTCAAACAGAAACGCATTACTGCTTCACAGCAGAAATAGGCAGGGCGGTGGTACCTACCCGTGCTGACTGAAAATACGTCCTACCACCAGTAGCTAACAGTAGCTAGCATATAGCTAACATTTTAAAATTAAAAGCGCTCATTCAAGGCAAACAGTTATTGTCTTAAAATACTATATCGAAGGGTGAAAATCTATTTTTTAATTTGTTTTAAGCGACTGAACACTCGCCATTTGTCTTTGTAATGAAAGTTTCGTTTTATTTGGTCTTAGCATCAACAATGCGATTGTTTTTAATTGAACTTAGATTAAGCTTAATCCAGTAAATAGCTGAAGAAGTTTTTATGTTATGATATTTTTTCCATTTTTTTTTACTTTAAATGGCTCTTCTGTAAAGTTGCAGAAAGCGACAGCTCAAACCAAATAGCCTGCGCTAGCTCTATAAAAACTTAAAAACAATATATGGAACTAATATTGAGATATTTATATGAAGGGTAGAAGTAAGAAACACCATTACATTGTATTAAAAAGTGTCCGCTGAAAGATAATAAAGATGGCGCCAAAGTAGCAAGTGGAAAGATTTTAAAAACAGCATCATAAACTTAGAGAAGAAAATAAATAGTAAGAAAATTGTTGAGGTTTTAAATACACGTATTTTTTTTTTAACTTAGTATCCTAGTCGAATAGCTTATGGCGCTGTATTTTAAATTCTTCCACTTGCTATTGTGGCGCCATATTTATTAGCTCCCTTTCAGTGAACACTTTCAATACACTAAAATTCTGCTCCTTATTTCTATCCTTTATAAAATTTACTGAAAAAAAAATAACAATACTTATAATGTTATCTACTGTAATGCCAATAAATACATCCTTAACTTATTCCGCTGACAAAATTTAATTTTTCTTTAAAAAAAGTCTGAGAATCATCGTAAAAGTCTGTGACTTCTTCCCGTATGTTACTAACATGTTATTAACGAACATAATAACACGAAAATCCCAAAAACGAATTGCATAAACAAATAGCTCGGCCAGTATTATAATCATTAGTAGAATACAAAGTTATTGTCCACTAGCAAGAATGATTTGAAGATCGCATGTAAATAAATTAACTCACCGTCTTCACAATGAGATCCAGCGATGAAGAGAAATACGAAGATAGCCACAGCCCAACCCATTCTGACGAAAACAGAGAGTTGTAATGAGAAAGCAATCTGTGGTAAAACTACATTAAACCCTAAACTAGGTTATCTTTTGATATCGTTATCAGCGCGATACCAAGAAAACGTATTGAGTCAAAATTTTATCATTCCGATTTGCTTACATTGAAATCAATTCTATTGTAATGTTGAGATATATTTTGTTTCGTAATTACAGATTTAAATTTAAAAAAAAATCATAATTATGCTACCGGACGGAAGATGGCGCTGTGCACTCTTGTCAATGATTTTAAATATTTTAACTACTTTATTGTAAATACTACTTTAAATAACTTTTTCTTTTTAAGCTTTAGAAGGGTCTACACACTAGCAATGTGCCTAAAGTGTTGTATTTGCATATTTAAAGCTATAAACAAAATCACATCTCGTAAAATAGTAACACGGCATAAGTGGTGAATTAATTAAATTTACTCAATAATAATATTTAAAGGGCTTCAACTTCGTAACTATGGTTTTTTTAAAGCATCAACAAATACAACAGTTGTATACAACATTCGCTTGCCTCAAAGTAGTACTTGTTGTTTAAACACTCATTTTTGTCAAAATGCGCCATATTGATACAGGTGCAAATTCAATGAAGTTTGTAAAAAGATATAAATCGTGTCGTACAAAATAATCTATGATTAAAGAGGCCATTTATCACACACTTCCTAAAATGGCTGCGTTTTAAGTATTCCTTTATGAAATAAATCGTTTATTCCGAGTTCAACGTTTTAAAAAAATTGACGATTTTTTTTCAATCACTGAACTTGCTGTATCAAAATTGTAGGAAATTTTGAAAATAATTCGATATTCATTGAGTAAATTGAATTGTCAAAATCCTTGGCATGTAACAAAGATGGCGGCCTCGAAAATAACACTAAATTTAGTCTAGCTCTTATTAAATCAATCTGTGTTTTAACTGCATTATGTGAATTGCAAAATTGAATATCCTTACTATAATAGTAAGATCGATAGGGGGGAATTTAAGAAAGAAAAAAAACAAATCAAATTAAACACATAAAATTATTACTTACTTTTTAAAAATCAATATATCGGAAATATTATCGGAGCTGTGTTATTTAGACACTCTTATTTTGACATCGCATTACTATAACACTTTCGATGTCTTTGCAGCGAATGTTTAACAAAATGGCGGCCGATATCTTATCTTGCCATATCGCGTTATCTACGGGTGTGTGGCATATAAGAATATTGTAGGTGACAATAAAATATAATTTAAAAAGGAATTTTGTGAATTTTTATCCATTCTTCCGGATCGTAGAAATAATTAAAAGATTTTTTTATGGTTAAGAGTATTTTTAATCTTGCTTGATCTCTACGCGACTCCGTCGACCGCAACAGCGAATACTATAAAGTATCCGAAACGTCGGAAATAATGTCTGCAATAATTATTGGTTTTTTTTCTCGCATCACTCGAAGAACATAGCTTTAACATTTAAAGCGCGAACCGTCGATAGATCGACTCTCTATTAATGCAAATAAACTGCGGAGCATCGGAATAGCGACTATTGCGCAGTTTGATTACAGATATTAGGTATTGATTGACCTGTACGGACGTGTCTTAGTGCGCGTACGTATAACGTTTTTAATAGGTTAATAACATTTATAGTTAACCATTTAAAATTATTTCTTCTTTTTTTTCTTTTTCTTCACCTTATCTCACTAGGTGGGGTCAATACAGCTATTCCCCTCTATTCCATTCTCTTCTATCAGCTGTCATCTCAACACTCACTCCTCTCTCTCTCATATCGTCATGCACACACTCCATCCATGTCTTCTTCGGTCGACCTCTTCCCCCTCTACCTTGCACTACCATTTTCATACATCTCCTAGTCGCATTAATTTTCGTTTTTAATTAATTTAATTCATTTTTTAAGTTAAACTTTTTTGCAAGTCACGTATTTTTTTCTGTCAAAACAGTTTGGTAATTTTTGTAAAAATGTCAAAATAAGTTCAGAACTAAAAGGATTAAAAACTAATACGCATCTCGTAAACTGAAAATCGGCGCTGACAGCGTTAACACCAATAAAAGAGGCATTCACAAACTATTAATAAACTTTAAATCAATTTAGTGTCCTATTATGTTCGTAAGCGCATAATAATTTCAAAGGTCGAATACCGTCGAGGGACTTAGTGACATTTGGACAAATGGTCGCTAAAGAGCTACATTACGCCATATTCCCGACCCTCTTTTAAACGCTGGCCTTTACTTTGTTTGCACTTATATTATACAACTTAATTACGGGAATTAAGGGATTTCACGGCAGATTAAATCTCAGTTTCGAAATTTACAACTGCCCTTGTATTTTTCTTATGAATGAATGATACGTACGAGATAAGATTGTTAGTATTACTAGCAAAAATCGATGGAACTCTAAACCTATCCGTCGAAGCGATTTTTATGGATCTATTTTAAATACCCATATTATTAGATATTGAGATTTCTCTTATTCACATAAATATTGTGTATTCGTAGTGCATAATGTGATTTTCTAAATATTTTATTATAATTTAAAAATAAATCTTGTTATCGTGTTTCAAAAGTACCTACCATGTTATATGACGGTTTTTTGGGAATTTGTTTCTTTTCTTGTTAGAGTGGAACCATGTTGTGAAATACCGTGTTAAATGAGGGTTACCTGTATTTAAAAAAAACTATTTATTTGTTTGTATAGTCTGCTTACGGACGATAATTCTATGTGATGACGTCAGTAGCAGAATTCGAAGAGAATTCGAACTGCTAGCTCTGACGTCACGCGAGAAGAGAGATAAATTTGTCACAAGCTAACGCTTGGCCCGATCTTGCCTCTCTATCGCTTGTTCCGCGCTCTCGCTCAGGCGGAACGTGACACTTTTTCGAGCGTGCAGCCAGTGTTAGTCGATATCACAGACGTTATCACGTCAAAAAACATTCCACTCCATTGTTACATACGTTGTTCTGATTACAAACAAACGATCCTACCTATCGATATATTTCCTTTTATAGAATCGGGATGTTGACTCACCTTTATTTAATTCACAATAAGCAATTCGGCTATCCATAATCTAGTGGAGTCGGAAGAATGCGTAATGATTCAGAATGCGTATCGGAAATGATTCAGAGCGAAACATTGTCGGGCGATTGGATGACAGCCTTGAGACGTCGTTACGCATCCTTCCGAGAGAGAGAAAGTACGTCTAAAAAGGACGTCTTGTGAGTCCGCACCGGTAACTACCATCACCCTGCCTATGTCTGCCGTGAAGCAGTAATTCATTTCGGTTCTCACTGAGTTTCTCGCCGGATCTTCTCAGCGGGTTGCGATTCAGATTTGATGTTAGATTCATCAATACTCTTGCTAGTTACGAGAGCCCATAGACATTTACAACGTAAATACCGCCACCCACCTTGAAATATGAGTTCTAAGGTCTCAGTATAGCTACAACGGCTGCCCCACCCTTCGAATCGAAACGCATTACTGCTTCACGGCAGAAATAGGCGGGGCGGTGGTACCTACCCGCACGGGCTCACAAGGTTTCATCCATAAATAACGTAAGACGTTGTCGGGGAGGTGGGGGGGGGGGGGTGGTATCACCGAAATGTGACATCTTGAAATTATTTCTGTGTGTGACATAGTGTGACAAGGGGCATATGGAGGGTCAATAATTAGGTGATGTCACATGTTAAAATTTAAAATATTAAAACACGAAGCTTAGATGTGAACAAAAAACTTTAGAAATCTACGAACTTCAACTATAGTTATTAATAATTTAGCATTCTCGCTATGAGATTGTCTCTCATGCAACGTCACTAAGGACGTTCCTGATGTTCAAATTCAGAACGAAAATGAAGTGCCTGTAATCTTCTTCTTCTCTATATATATAAAAATGAATTTCTGTTCGTTAATCTCGCTAAAACTCGAGAACGGCTGGACCGATTTGGCTAATTTTGGTCTTGAATTATTTGTGGAAGTCCAGAGAAGATTTAAAGGGTAGATAAATATGAAAATGCTCGGAATTAAATTAAGTTAAGTAATTGAATTCGTCGTGGCCTAAAGGATAAGACGTCCGGTGCATTCGTTGTTGCGATGCACCGGCGTTCGTATCCCGCAGGTGGGTTCCAATTTTTCTAATGAAATACGTACTTAACAAATGTTCACGATTGACTTCCACGGTGAAGGAATAGCATCGTGTAATAAAAGTTAAACCCGCAAAATTATAATTTGCGTAATCACTGGTGGTAGGACCTCTTGTGAGTCTGCACGGGTAGGTACGACCGCCCTGCCTATTTCTGCCGTGAAGCAGTAATGCGTTTCGGTCTGAAGGGTGGGGCAGCCGTTGTAACTATACTGAGACCTTAAAACTTATATCTCAAGGTGGGTGGCGCATTTACGTTGTAGATGTCTATGGGCTCCAGTAACCACTTACCACCAGGTGGGCTGTGAGCTCGTCCAATCATCTAAGCAATAAAAAAAATAAAAAAATAAGAATTTTGTTTTTCCTTTGATGTGTCCCCCGTCGGACTGATTCCTTTTGTTTGCTTTAAGTTTATTTTATACAAAAGTTTAGGTATTTTATTTATCGATTGAGGCACTACGAAGTCTGCCGGGTCAGCTAGTAGAGAATATAAAAGAGTAGGTTCAAAAGTCCTAAAATTCATGTGACGTTTTTTTTTTTTATTGCTTAGATGAGTGGACGAGCTCACAGCCCACCTGGTGTTAAGTGGTTACTGGAGCCCATAGACATCTACGACGTAAATGCGCCACCCACCTTGAGATAAGTTCTAAGGTCTCAAGTATAGTTACAACGGCTGCCCCACCCTTCAAACCGAAACGCATTACTGATTCACGGCAGAAATAGGCAGGGCGGTGGTACCCACCCGCGCGGACTCACAAGATGTCCTACCACCAGTAAAAAATAGTATAAATAGTAAAAAATAGTAATATAAAGTAATTTATGGATGGCCCCCAAGAGCTCCTACCACCATATCAACTCGGAAAGGGATCGTCAGATCCCTTTCCGATCGAGAGATCGTCTTTCGCCTCGCCGTCAAACAGGCGTCAACATAACGTAAGCACGTAACCATCAGCGGATCATCAGCTCCCCATACGTCGGCTCGGCTGCAGATGGGCTTGCCGCGCTTGCTGCTAGGCAGAGCGCCGGAGATCAGAGAGGGGCAAGGGGGGACGAAGGATTGTTGTTCCCACACGGGTCACACCGCGGTTCGCACTTGTCCTAAAGTGAACCGTTTACGTTACGATTTCAATTAGTGTGGTCATTCAGTAAAGAGTTTAATTTTTTTCCTACCTATATCGCTGGTAGTCTAAGAGGCTATTCCAGTTAAGCTAGGACGGGTAGATGAGCTCACGGGCTCAACCTGAGAGAATTTGCTAGCCCTAGCAAGAGCAGTGCTTCGCTGTATCTACCACCGGATCGGAAACGCGACCCACTGAGAAGATCCGGCGAGAAACTCAGTGGCCTAGTTTTATATAAAGAATACAAAATGGCTTGATTTGATACGGTTACGATCCCTTCGGGAGTTAATATGTGTGCTACAGACTACCAGCCCTTAGACTACCAGCGGATTGGTAACGAACAAAAATATGAACAACTATATGATGAAGACACAGTATGTGAAGACACAGTGAGTTTATCATCACAATCTCAGTGGTTATAATATCAGTGTCATCTTCCAATTTTGTCAAAATTTACAATCGGTATAAGAGAAACATGGCAGCTTTTTTCCGTCTAGAATATCGTATTCGTAAAAATTCTGACAACGGTAGATGAATTTCTTATAAATCTATAATAATATTAACTCACTTAGAATCTAAATCGTAATTGTTAAATTATACTAAATCACTACAGTAACTGTATTTAATATTTGATAATTATGCATGATGAATAATTTTAACAAGAAAATTAATTGTATAGATTCTGGTAAGCAAAAACCAACACATTCTATATTTTCTTTTCAATACACGACTTAACGTCAATTATCTTGTGATTATCCTACTCGACGTTAGATGGCGCGCATCGAGTTCCATTCCTCCGAGACTTGTTAGTGTTTTGAGATCTATTTGAAACGAAACTCTTGCTTAAAGAAATGTCTACGTATTGAGAGGTCGATACGTTTTGGTTCTCACGTAACGAGATAATATATAG